TGCCCGAGCAGTCTGTCACCGATAACGATGGTGAAATGACGATAATCGGGATTTGTTACGTGTGGCAGAGGCCCAGGCTGATCGGCGACATGGGTTCAGTCAGAGCCACAGCCCAACGCCGACGCGAAGGTAAGCGGGATATTGGTTACCTGGTCTTGTGTGGATGTTCCGTGAGATGTTTGCTTCTTCTTCTTCTTCATGTCAGTCTGGTGTTTTTTGCTTTTCCCTTTGGTTTGTCATACTGGTAGACTTCTTCGCGCGAGAGAGGAGGGCCTCTGAAGGAGCCCTCACGCCATGATTGTCCAGACGAAGCACTCCCTTCTGCCTCGATCGTTTTTTCCACTGGGGGCGGCGGAGCGATGTTCTATGGGATCACCGACGAGATGACGTTGTTCCACAGGATCGAGGATGCACGAAGACAGAGCCGGAAGAGCACACTGCCAGACGAACATCTCTGTTCAAGAACAGGCTTGTTTTGCGACTGTCAAACGAGTCAAATCCAAACGGATGTCTGGGACGTGAGTGTCGGTCTCAGGCACCAGATAGGGACTGTGGATTTTCCTGGCCTGACCGAGGCCCGGAGTGGGCTCGTCAAACCCAGCCCGAAAACGGGGCGTGACGTCTTGAGACCTGGCGTCGGCGAGAGCGTGGGCGGTTTCGGTAACCGTCGGCTTTCGAAACGTGAGGTTTGAGGTCTTGTGAGCATTTGTCGAGGCTGGGCTTGTGTTCCTTTTTCTTTCTTTCTTTTTTTTCTCGCCTTGGCGGGAGAGCTCGAGAGGAGAGAGTTGAGCGAGGACTTGATTAAGGGTGAGATGTGCAGGTTTGATGAACTCGTGAGGCCAAGAAGAAAGAAGAGTGAAGAAGGGGCGAGAGAGAGACGTTGGCTTTTGGTCTGGTGTGACGGCAAAGACTCATGCCAATCTTGAACTCTGCTTCCGTCGAGCTCGGGTTGTCTCGTAGTGTCGGTTCATCGGTGGCACGATGTGAAGGACCTGGTTGTCTGGGTCTACTCTGCGTGGCTTTTTCATCTGCCGCCAAGTCTTGAGGTGTTTGTTCAGAGTGAGATGAACATGGGACACTGAAGAATCCTGAGATTTGCAGACTTGGCTCTTGTGTCTCTTGTTTGGCCCCCACTGCGATATCAACGTCAACCATGGATCATCTCTGCCTTGGGCGCCGGGAAGGAGCTTCAAGCCGTGATCTTTTCTCCCTTTGACGGATGTTGTTCTTTTCAATACGGGCCTGCTTCGTTTGGATGGAAACTACGTCAAACGTTGCGAGGATCTCGAGTATCGGCAAAACTGACAGTAGGGGGCAGTGGAACTCAGCCCCAAGGGGTTGTGGTGTCTCGTGGCTTCTCTATTCCGTCTACAACCCCTGTGCTTCCCGTATTTCTCAGTTGTTCACCTATGTACATGAGATGGTTGTGCTCATAGGTAAGGGAGGTCGAGTCTACCCATAACGTAACTCTGCCTGTACGGTATTTGCGGGGCTCTCGCCATTAACCCTGTGAGAGGACGAGGGCCTTTGGGCTTGGTCGTCTTTGGTTTGTTGGAAAGTTGTTAGTTTTTGGACCGCTATGATCTCGAGCCACATAACAGCAGCGAAGCAATGGAAGACCTTAGGAGTTCCTGTTTATGGAATTTTGAGGCGGAAGACTCTTTGAACTCCTTGAAGTATAGATGTTGTGACTTTTTAAATTGTTGATGGTTGCCCTGGTCTGGAACACTCGGAGCGGAGTCTTTCGGAAACAAGGACCAACGGGGCTGGGTCTTAATTCTGCCTTTGTATGTGGTATAGTTGACTGTTCAGAGCTCTTCGCTTACTCCTTTTAAGCTGCGGTTGGAGGCATATGAAGAGCAGATTCCTAAGAGGCTTGCGTGCATGTTTGGAGATTGAGGATAGCTGTTTAACGCCGCAGATATAGATGAAGGAATGTTGGCGAGGAGAAAACCAGGTGATTTGATCAGGTACCCATTGCTTTCTGCTTTAATCACTGGGCTGTTATAGAGGTTGATTATTGCCACAGAATTAACAAGAGAGTAACAGCCCCTTCTCTGTGAGCTTGAAGCTGACGATGTTCCAGGGCGGAAGAAGCGGACAAGGTTATACAAACAGGGAGGCCCGGAAATCGAAACTACGGATTCGATGGCGATCTCTGGGTCTAGGGTACGTCTTCGTCTTTGCCTTCGGCGGGAACAAACGCATATGAGGCAGGGGCTAGACGATGTTTAGGGTACAATACAACCTACAAGCACGCTGGAATGAGACTGGACTACCTCGTTCTAAGAGATGTGTGAGTAGAACAAGCCTCGAGGTACAGCCACCGAAATGGACCGCTCGTGCTCTTTGGCGCACAACATTCCCGCGAAATCTCATTGTATCTTGATAGAGGCAAGTCCCAGTTGGCCGACTATCTCTAATCGAAGGTGTCGGAACTGGTCCTCATGGTGTTGTTAAACAAGGGGGTGTGCGAATGGTAGGCGAAAGCGGGCGGACGGAAATTGACGAAGAGGTCTTGGTTGACGTTGTCCTAATCATGGTGAGTTGGAATAGGGGTTCTACGCCAAGAAGAGGGTATTGGAGTTTGCGAGGTTGGGCAAAACTTGGTAATGAAACATGTGTGAGCTATATCATAGGTATAGACCGCTTGACAGAGCATGGAAACAACGACGCGCTGGTGAGAGCGATCTTTGTTGAGTGAGTACTTCCCACTCCCCATTAGGCGCAATGTCTTCTGTGGATCGAATATGCATGGGACTCTCGAGTTGACTATCTTCGCCCAAGATCACAAAACAGGAGGAGTTTTCAGAATTGACTTGACTTAGTGTCAGAGGGAGAGACCTTAACAAGGCTCCTGAGAGAATTATTCAGCCTTAATAGGAATATCAGCATGGTAAGAGCTCGATGCCAGAACATGGGTGAACTGGCTGGTACGGATCAGTAGGAAGCGGCATCAGGGCCAAGAAGCCGAAGACTTTCGGATGCAGCCTCTGTCTCTGGCGTATCCAGGGTTGAATAAGTGCAAAATGGGGAACCGCGATAAGAAAGGTATTCCAGGCACATGGTTCGATGTAGTGTCTAGACGGCAGCTGGGCACGAATATAGGGCTGGGGGAGGCTCATACAAACGCCTAGTGCAGGTTTCTCGGCGCCGTACGTAGCCTTAAGACCTTAGATGCCCCTCAAAGAAAGGACTTCTGTAGATGGACCTTGATTGTATACTCGGAGGTATTGAAATCGTCCAAAGAACATGGCGTACCCAAAACACAAAGATATTTCGCACTGCTTACCAACAGGACATAAGCAAGCCTCGGCGGACGACTTCGAGCTATTAGTTTTACGACCTGGGTTCGATAGAGGACGAGGTCATATGTCCAGATGTATCATGCTTAGGTCTTTCCGGTTGCTGGTTCACACGGGATTGTGCTTGCCTCGCCGGCGTCGTGATGCAATCAATCGATGTGGGACTTCCTAGGCGAGGAGCAGACGCGATTCCCGCAGAATTTTAGATTAATCTCTTCCGGAAACCAACCTATCAGGCCAACTGTTCGCGTGCGGCCAAGAGCTATTCCACGCACATAATATTTTCCTCGAGATGTTGGCACCTGAAGTCAGGCAGGAGTCTCATAACTGATTTTCGCTATAGCTCGGAACAAGACTGATCTGCCAATCTAGATGAGCTGCCTATAAGTCAGTGACATGGTGGATAATGCTATGAAACTTGTACGAATGTGAGTGATTGTATGTCCTCGAACGACTATTAACCTGTAATAGGCAGTTCGTGGTGAGTGGCATAGTCGGTAAGAATGTTGAGCTGCCAACAATACACTGCGCTCCCATTATCCCACTCTTGCCTCTCAAGAAGTTTGGGAGATATCGAGAAACTCTCGGATCTAAATGCTTGAAAGCACTGTGGAATGATTTGCGAGAGTCGATTGGGTAGTGAATCACCTGCGTCAACATCTGGTCTTGGGGTAAGACTCAAAGCCTGAATGAATCACCCCTTTTATCAACGACCTTTGAACAAGCGTCGGTTCTAGTTCAGTACACAAAGAGGTGTGAAAATCTAATAGGAGTAGGTTCGGTTGATCAGTTGCGTGAATGAGTCGTTGCCAAACACACCATGGCAGTGAAGAACGCAGATGAACAGAGCCCTACAAGTTGATTCGTAACGAGATGAGTGGCATCCCCGTTCTTGGATTCACGTATTTTGACACGATGAATGAATAGCGGCATATTCCGCCAAGTCACCAGGAGTATATACGGCTAGTCCTTGTCCTTTAAGTTCACTCGCGAACTGCTGTAGGAGCCACTGAGTTGCTGTTGTTGAGGCCTCTCCCGTTGTTCAGCTACACGTGGTAGCGTGGCGGCGGCTGCTACCAATGGATGGTGGAAACGTTTCAGTCCTCGACCCAGTTTTGATAGTTGCGATTGGTTTCTTGGACCCTGGGATGCCACACTGGAGCCAGCATCGCGGCTTCTTACGACGCTGTCCACCATGCCGCCAACTCGTGAGCATCATTTTGTTTGTTTCAATGCCGTCTTGATTGCATTCTCCATCATTCATCGACGCTCACCGAGCCAGTATTGCCCGGCGAGCAAGTAGGCTTGTTTCAAACCTTTTTTGACTGACAGCTTCCGACCCTTGTTGATTCCCACCACGCACGCTTGACCCCGCGCCCCGCCCAATGAACTTGGCCGATTGTCGAAATTCGAAGATCGGTTCAGGGGGGCTGCTCTGGGGCCTATCCTGAATTCACTGGCATAAGCCAACCGGCAAGTGATTGAGTTGTGCTCTGTCAGTTTCCTATATCAACGCCTATCCACCCGTTCTTGGGTAGCATTGACTTAATCTCGCAATGTCCCCACACCGACTACGCGGGCTCATCAAAACGAGACGCACACACACCCTTCGAAGGAACCACCAGAGTCACATTTCCCGAGACAGAATTCCTTGAACTTTGAAAAGTCACAAAACGAGGTAGTTGAGTGTGAGAGATGGCAGTCACTCACACCGAGAGCGCGCAGTCGGCTAGTCAGCTCGACGGCCAAGTGATGGTCATCCCTGACCTGCGCCGGATGATCAGCCACTGGCCGTCAGGAAAGAACGTCTCCGCTTCCGATGTCGAGGTACTTGTCAACGGCTTCCTCGAGAAGTAGTGAGTTGCATTGGCTCTTCGCGAAATGTTTGGTAATGCTGATGGTGCAGTGATGCTTCTCCACAAGATGTAGCAAACGTCACGGAGGCCAACCCAACGCTGCTTGCCGCTAGGTGAGTCTTCACAAAATCCACTTGAACAGCACTCGTTGACGACAACGCAACAGCCTCTGGCCAAATGTCTCAAGAGAAAAGCTCGGCACCCTGACTTTGATGGTCCTCTGGCAGGGTAGGCTCGATGACTATATTGAGATCTTGGAGTATGAGAGCCAAGCCAAGGCGAAAGAGTTTCGCGCCAAAACCAAAGATTACATTGCGCAATACCTCCGACTCTCAGAGGGACCCAAGGAGCCGGCGACAACACCCGTTATCTCGGATTTCCAGCCGGTTGCGAATATGATATGCCAGCAGTACGACAATGGTAGATATGGGCGGGCGATAAGTGCGGCAATTGTGAGCTGACAAGTAGTGCCAGATCAGCGTCGGAGGCTGAGAGTCAGCCTCTTTGAGTACATCGACTCAACGGTGCAGGAGATGCGGTATATCGAGAGTGGAGAGGTGCCGACGGATCTCAAGTATGAGATGCTTCGGAAGAAGACGGCGGGCACAGGCCCTCTTTGCGCTTTGGCAGAGTGAGTGTCGAGATGGTCTAGGGCCGAGTTGAGTTTGTGCTGACTAGAGAAGGTTCGCCTCGGGCCTTCAATGGCCGCCGTTCGTCTTTAACTCTCATCCGTATAAGATGATGCTGCAGTCGGTTGCCATCATTGTTGGCCTGTTCGTCGTCCAAGAGTCGCGGGTTGAAATGGACAGGAAGCTGACAGCTGTGCAATAGGACGAACGACCTGCTATCCCTGAGGAAAGAGCTGGTAAGGAACTCTGCCTGATGTACCTTGGCAGCCACTGACACATGTGCAGCGCAAAGGGCGGGCTCTCAGCGTGGTGCCGGTCCGCTTCTGGAACAGCCAAGACGGCGACTTGGAAGCGGTCATCAGAGAGGTTGTCGACGACATCGAGAAGGCGGTCAGGCATTTCGATATCTGCGAGCGCAGGTTGATCAACCAGAGCCAGGCGGACGCCGACAGAACACGGCAGATAGCTGCAACGCTCAAGACGATCTGCACGGGTAATTTGACTTGGAGGTTTGTTTCTTGATATACACCTTACCTCCATTAGGGGCGATGCTAACAACGGGCAGTCTCGCGTCCAAGAGGTACCATGTCGGCGAACTAGCTGCTGATGGCAGTCTGATGCAGGAATTAAGGGTTGGTGTATGATGGCGTTGCAACGGATGTAATGGATGGTAAAGAAGAAAGAGTGATACGAAGCCGCAAGCCCAAGGAGGAGCTTAGGAAGCGCCCTAGCTAATTAATGATACCCCAATGCTTACAGAAAACCGCAGTGGCCAATCGACGCGTGCACCTGAGTCGTGATGCATTGGATAGGGGAACGAGGGCCCTGAGAGCTAGATACCTAGTGAGTTGGAAAAAAAGAAAGGTGAGCCTAGTTCGCGCTAGGAATTGTGCCAAGAATGATGAACTGGAAGTTTGCTTTGAGATGCAGGCTTGGAAACGGTGGGAATTGTTGCATTGTCTTACAGGGAGACACAGGGGCTGTTCAGTTACCGTTGGGCGTAGAAGCGTTAGTCTGATGTCATAGCAAATTGCGAGCTCAGCCAGGCAAAGGTCTCAATTGGCGAGTGGACGCGCCCCTCCTAAGCTTTCAGCTCGAGGGAGCTCCCCCAAGCTTCCCCAGCCGCTGCTCTCTCCCCAAAACACAAACCATTTCATCCAACTTCGTCCCTCTGGTCATCCATCGCCATCACGAGCTTTCGACAACGCCAATTGATTCACACAACTCCACCCCTAACACTTATCACCACAGACAACAATGGCTTTCCGCCTCGCAGCAAGAAGAGTCGCCCTCGCGCGCCCCGCTGTCCCAGCTAGGGCCTTCCACTCGACGCCCCGCGCCTTCGTCAAGGCGGGCGACGCCGTGCCTGACCTCGACGTGCTTGTCGAGAACTCGCCTGGTAACAAGGTCAATCTCGCCGACGAGTTCGCCAAGGTCAACACCGGCCTCATTATTGGTGTCCCCGCCGCCTTCTCGCCCGCGTGCTCGGCGAGCCATATCCCCTCGTACATCAACCACCCCAAGCTCAAGGAGCAGGGCGCCGTGTTTGTCGTCTCCGTCAACGACCCCTTTGTGTAGGTTGCTCTCGATGGATTGCAGGCAACAGAGCCGCATGATGCTGACGGCTTAACAGGATGAAGGCATGGGGTGACCAACTTGACCCCGCTGGCCAGACTGGCGTACGTTGAGTTCCCGTTGGTGGATACTGTTGGGTAAGCAATTGATGGCTGATGCAGCGACAGATCCGATTCCTGGGCGATCCCGCCGGCGAGTTCACCAAGTCTCTCGAGGTCGACTTTGATAGCAAGGCCATCTTCGGCAACGACCGCAGCAAGCGTTACACTCTTGTTATCGAGAACGGCAAGGTCAAGGAGGCCCACGTCGAGCCTGACAACATTGGCACCAAGGGTGAGATCTGGCCCGCGACAAGTTCGTTGAGGATAGGGGCTAACGATTTTTTGCAGTCTCTTTGGCCGACAAGGTCCTGGGTTAAAGGGAAGGGATATCGCCTTCCAGCAGCTTGGATGGACATCTAGCCAGTTTTTGATCTGATAGCCATGCCTGAATGTTTGGCTGTGATGTAGGATGGAGAAGCAGAGCCTGTACACCGAGATCTGTTCAGAATCAAATATACCTGAACTATTTGGCGCAAAATGGAGGCTTTCAGAGCGTTTTCCCAACGGATTGGCACTTGCAGGTTTAACCGAACTATGCTCTCTCTCCCGTGGAAATGACGTGAAAACATAGCATTCGAAAGCATATGGCAGCTTCAGAGGAAGAATGACACGACCTCATGGTTCGGACGGGACGAAAGCTTGCCGGCGCAGCTGGCCGACCCGAATATTTGTGGATACCCGACAACCTCGCTACCTAAGGTAGACCGGCGACATCGGGGCCACTTGGTACCGGGCCGCTCCCGCCTGACAAATGCAGGGGCGAAGTGGTGGAAAAGGACGACGGTGGCATCTTATCGATAAGCTATATGACTAAGGTAAGGTGAGACCAGACCGAGAAACTCCCGATAGGTCCCGCCCTGCTTATCGAGTGGAATGCAATAGCAAGTGGCGCTCGGGGCAGGCGTGTGAGGCGCCCAGCGTCATGCACCCGACCAACTCACGACACCCACCCTTCGCCCAAGTCCGGGTGAGCAGGCAGACAGACAGACATCAGCCCGGAGCAAGGACAGAGAACGAGACCGCAAGGGCCACGGAGTCACCTGCCGGCTGTCGGACACGGTCATTGGCCAGGCACTTGCAATGACACTGGCACGGGGAAGGGGCTACCAGTTGCAGCTTGGCCCAAGACTGTTCCTCGTTGCGATGCTTTGCCCTGCGTGCCCTGCCTCTGTGCTGTGCCGTGCCATGGCTCAGCATGCCATGTCATCTCCTTAATATCTGCCCGGCATCACCCCCCTATGTACCGCAGAAAGCGCAGAAAGCGAAAGGATAGAAGCCCATGCGGTCCTGTGACCTTCAGCCGCCCACCTTACCTCAATTCTGCCTCCTGGAAGTTTGCGATCGCCAACCCCGGTCCTTCGTTCCGTCTGGCAAGGCCAAGAGAGCAGGGTAGACACGTTGGTACCGTTGGCACGTAGCGTCGATAGCATGCTGGAGAGCCCCTCCAGTCAGCGAGTCCTGTGCCCTGTGCAGCGAAGTGGTGTGCCTCTTTTCCTTCCCTTGCCCCGCCGAACACCAACCGCGAGAGAACGGCCACCAGTTCAGGTACATTGGATTTGGTACGCATCCTCACCGAGTCACAAGTCACCTGGTCTCTTCCCACTCAGTGCACCTGTCCAACCAACACTGCCGTCATTACTGCCAAACCGTCCGACTCCCGCCATTTCAACCGCCCACCCATCCCACATCCCACACTCCTGCCTGCCCGCTCTCACTCACTCTTCCGCACTCCATCTCCGACAGTAGTCTGCCTGCCTGACCTTACACATTCAATCCCACTTCTGCATCCACAACCACCCCAAAACCGCCGCATTCGCCTTCTACACCGCAGGCAACCGACCGAGGTCTTTTCGATTCCCTCCCTGACTAATCTCAACGATCGACTATTGCCTTTCCTCTGCTACTCACCAGCAATCTCGACCTTCCCGACTCCTCCCATTTCTTGTACCTGACTGAGCCTCAGCCTCGGATCATCGCGGCCTGTAACTTAGCAGCCCCTCCATCCCCTCCAGGTTGACTCCCACGCCGCGACCGACCCCAGCGAAACCCCTCCCTTTCAGAGTGCCTGGATTCGATCTTCGTTTCCGTCACCAGACCCCCGACTTTGTTATATAATTCTCCCCGTTTCCACTAGAGGAAACGCTTCCCTCGCCTCCATCTGCAGTCGGCACCATTCCTCCCACCACGCGGAAGCGAAAGGCCGCTGAGGCGACGATATCCTCCAATACCCAAGACATCTTGCCGAAGAAGAGGATCGCCTCAGCTGCCAAACAAGACGCTCCCCCGACCCCCCTTACCACCGCGAGCAACGGTATGGATTCCGAGGAAGACTTTATGTCGGCTCTCTCGAGCGAGGACGAGATCATGCAGGATGACAGCGGCGAGGACATGTCTGGCCCTGACGGTACGCCTCCCCCGTCAAACGGCATCCCAGCCTTTCACCGCAAGCTAACCCATTTGCCATCTGTACAGACTTTGACGAGGATGACTTCGATGACGAGCCCGACGCAGACCTGGGCATGATCAAAGACTCTGACACGAAGAGGAAGGTTGCTTACGACATTTCCTTCAAAGTCTACGAACCAAAGGACATTCAACGCCAGCAGGATGACATGATTGACGAGGTCAACATGATTCTCAACATTCGCAAGGAAGACGTCGCGATATTGTTGCGGCACTTCAGATGGAACAAAGAACGTCTTATCGAGGATTACATGGACGGTGCCAACAAGGTCCTGGAGGCAGCAGGTCTTGGCTCCAACGTCACTGGCCCGCCCAAACTCGAGGCCATTCCAGGCTTCATGTGCGATATTTGCTGCGAGGACGAGGAAGGCCTTCAGACCTTTTCCCTCAAGTGCGGTCACCGATACTGCGTTGATTGCTACCGCCACTACCTTACCCAAAAGATTCGTGAAGAGGGCGAGGCTGCTCGTATCCAGTGTCCTGCCGAGGGATGCGGCCGCATCATAGACTCAAAGTCCTTGGACCTGCTCGTTGCATCGGACCTCAACTCACGGTACAACGAACTGCTGAACCGGACATACGTGGAGGACAAGGACACACTCAAATGGTGCCCGGCACCCGATTGCCCCAATGCTGTCGAGTGCGGCATCAAGAAGAAGGATCTGGATAGGATCGTTCCTACAGTTGCTTGTGGCTGCGGCCATCGCTTCTGCTTCGGCTGCATCCTCAACGACCACCAGCCGGCACCATGCGAGCTCGTCAAGAGATGGCTCAAGAAGTGTGCCGACGATTCCGAGACAGCCAACTGGATCTCGGCCAACACCAAAGAGTGCCCTAAGTGTAACTCCACAATCGAGAAGAACGGTGGCTGCAACCACATGACGTGCCGCAAATGCAAGCACGAATTCTGCTGGATGTGTATGGGTCTCTGGTCTGAGCATGGAACAAGTTGGTACAACTGCAACCGTTTCGAAGAGAGGAGCGGCACCGAGGCTCGCGACGCGCAAGCCAAGTCGCGTATCTCACTAGAGCGGTATTTGCACTACTACAACCGCTATGCCAACCACGAGCAGTCTGCCAAGTTAGACAAGGACATCTATCACAAGACGGAAAAGAAGATGGTGCAGCTCCAGACTGCCTCGGGCATGTCATGGATCGAGGTGCAGTACCTCAACCAAGCTTCACAGACCCTTCAGACCTGCCGACAAACTCTTAAATGGACATACGCCTTTGCCTTCTACCTGGCGCGGAACAACTTGACCGAAATTTTCGAAGACAACCAAAAGGACCTTGAGATGGCTGTCGAAGCGTTGTCGGAGATGTTTGAGAAGCCTGTCACGGAGCTCTGTGACAAGAAGCTAAAGGTGGACATCATGGACAAGACGTCGTATTGCAAGAAGCGGCGCATCATCTTACTCGAAGACACTGCAGACAACCTTGCTAATGGTATGGCATCTCATCCCCTTCAAAGGTGATGTAGCTAACATTCTTAGGGCGATGGACTTTCAACGTCGACCTTCATGGCCCCTCCCCAGCAGCCGCCACCAGCAGCCGTCGTTGAGAGAACTCTGCGAGCGATGAAGGCGGTATACAGCTTCAAGACAGCAATGGCCACGAGCATGCCAGTTGGCCGAACTTTTTTTTTTCACGTTGTCCCGCCTACATGTATCAGAGATAGTTCAACGATCTCCGTACCTGTAACGAAGCTGGGTCTCAGAAAAAGAATACCAAGAATACGGAGATGGACATGGCAAAATATCTGTCCATGCGGGAAGATGAAGGAGCGTTGCATCTCACTTGAGAATGCGCAAGTTATCACTAGACTGCCAGGGACGGCATTTATGGGAGGGCGAGGAACAACAGCGCATCATGAGCATTGTGTATGTTATAGGTCTTCAGGTTACACGCCGAGTGTCCCAGGCACAACGGCAACGGGTTTTATGCATCATGCCTTTCTTTTTTTCTCTGGCGAGACCATGTCTTGGTTTTTCGAACATTGTGCCTCCCACATGTACGAGTGGCTCGTGATGGGCCAACTTGATCTGTGGTCCGAACTCTCTTCTTCTCATCGAGCTCGCAGCATCACCATTGGCTGACTCGCGACTGCGGTTTGGACTATGACGAAGCGGTCCGATCAAAGTTTTTTTGGGTTTGGGCCTCGAACCCTGCCTTGGTAGCGGCGTGCTTGCCAACCTAGGAGGACCTACGTACCTGGCTGGTCCCTGATGCGGGGGGAGGGCGGCGCATCGGCAACTTCCTCCCTTGTCGGAGGGCCAAACCAGCGGGAGGCGGCGTTCTGGCGGCGGAACCCCGTCCCAAATGCAACGATGGGCCGGCTCGGTAGTGTGTGACTTGTGAAAAAGAAAAAAACACACCCCGAATGCCCCTCCGAAATGTTGACCTTGATCTGTTACTCCGCAGAGTCCGGCATTGATGTGCCCCGGGCCGAAGATGAGGTGGATGGGCTGATTCGATGACCTGGTAGCGGTTTTTGACAAGTCGCGAAGAAACGGAAGAGACAGAATAGAACGCTTTGCTCGGAAAGACATTAAAAATGCTTCTTGACCATGAGATATTCCTATCATCACTACGTAAAACTCCGACGCCCTGGGTAATTAAAATGCATACAAGAAACCTGCTATCCCGTCCCTTTATTCTCTGCATGCCTCGTTCCGTTGATTCCGTGCTGTCATCTTTTGAAAATGACACATGCTCCGCAGTCATACGTCGCGAGTGCTCAAAATGACCTCGCGGTCCTTCTTTATGGTGCTTGACTTACACCATTCCCGTCTGTGGATCTCTCTCCTGTGCCTAATCAGGCGAAAATGTCATATCCGAGTGCTCCAGCAAGTCATTGCCTGCTGGCTGGCACATGGGCTTGCGCCTTGAATGATGCGTACTGCTTCAACGCCTGCTTCCGCAATGAATAGAACAAAATAATGACGCAACGTGTGTGGGTATCGCATCGAACATTGTGGTTGTTGATAATCGTTCAGTTATACACGAACCGAGAAAGGTTCAAGGCTTTGGGTCGCGGGTCCTCGTCCGTGCAGCCGAGGCCCTCTGCGAAAACATCGTACTCATTCTCACCGTCGCTATCGGGGATGATCTGGTCTTCGCTTCCGCACTGCGCGTTCAGAGCCTCGACCTCGGCCAGATCAACCTTGGGCAGGGGCACGAATGAAGGGTTGACGGGCATTGACTTTAGAAGTCGGCTCTTCCGGGGGCTGCGCTTGGGACTCCGCTGGATCGCACTCTTAGTGGGGGACAGGGGCCGGCGGGCAGGCACATTCTTGCGTTGGAGGGCACGGGATCCCATACGCTGAAGCGGAGTGAGGAGCGGAGTGGTCTTGGAGGTGCCAGCTGAACTCGAGCCAGCGGAGAAAGCGATCGACGAGGCTGCGGTGGAGGGGGCGGCGGTCGAAGGTGTGAAAATAGATGAATGCTGGGAAACGGCGGTCGACGGCGTGTCAGGTTGACTGGAAGCGACAGGGCTCGGCTGAGAGTTGAAGGCAAATCGCTGCAAAGACGTACGTCTTGATGTCTTTTCCGGAAATGATGAAGCAGGCTTTTTCGGCTCGATGTCCTCTGCCTCGGACAGATCGGTCTGCGGCGTCGTTGCTATTTCCTCGTCCTTGCTGAATTGACTGTCCGTGCCGGCAGTCGCTTCAGTGCCCGTATCTGTACTTTGGCTCTCCTCGAATACCGCAATCGACTTAGGCTTCGGGGCATGCCATCCGTCAATGTCCGGCAGGTTAAGTAGCGCCTCGTCGATCGAGTCATCGGAAAACAAGAAGCTGTCCTTCTTACTCTTGTTGGTGTTGCTTCCGCTCTTGGGGAAGAACTTGCTCTTTTGGGATTCCTCAGGTTTGGTTTCGGTAATATCGGTGTCCGCGCAGAGGCGAACCTTCTTGGGCGGCCGTTGAGAGCTGCTTCTCATCAGGGCATCGATGTCGTCCAAGGTGTTTGCTGCGTCACCAATTGTAACTCGGCGGGGCTCGTCAGAGCTTCCGGGGGCATGTCGTTCCAGGAGATCCTGGATGGGCTCGGTCCGTCGTCGTATCAGGCGAGGAGAGGTAATAGAACGGGCGGTTCGTGTAGGGCGGGAGCTGGCAGTTGGCTGAGATGATGACGTGCCTTCGACATAGGGTCTAGGCAAGGGGAAGACTCGAGGGACAAGGCCGTTGTGAGTGAGAGCTGCGACTCTTTCCGGGTCGACTGAGAAGCAATTGCGATCCATCTCGCCCATCGGGATGCGCTGGTGACCCTTGAAGTAAGAATCGATCGGTTTGGTAGGCGGCCGCGTGCGACTCGAGGCCGAAGAGGCGGCGGCGAGTGCCTCTGCAGACTGAGAGTGTCTCCTCTTGGCATCGGTCTTTGAGCCAGGCATGGGCGCAGGGATGATGGTCTCTTTGGTGATCGGGTTGACATCTCCAACTGCAATGGCTGTGGCCAACTCAGGCTCAACATAGCCGCCGATAAACGGCATGTCCTCCACACCATTGCCCTCGTCCGGTTCCGTCAGGCATACCAACTGCTTCTTCGTCGGGCAGTAAACTCTCTGGTGGATAAAGGTAAGCTCCGCCTGGGCGAATCGCGACATGTAGTTCTCCGAAACGCGATGCTTCCCCTCGAACTGAATCATCCGGACCAGTCGTTCGGGTGTTTTGTACTTGCGCATCATCCGGTACGCCGTCTTGAGGCCCATGTTGTTTATGCCCTCTAGGTAGTCGCAGCCGCTGAGAATGGCCATGCGGCGGAAGTCGGTGTCCGTCCATCCGGTCAGAGAAATTTCCCGAACAGCACAAAAGTCTCTCCGGTTGATCTCAATGCAGTTTCCATACTGATCGAGCTTCGTCAACAGCCGCTTACAGCCAAAGACCAAGAGATCCGAGTCCTCCGAGAGAACACCACCAATTAGACCCTGACGTTCGAGGTAGACGAGCTGAGCGTCAGCTTCGTACGGTGCAACGACGTACGGGAGGCCCATCTTCTTCAATTCGTCGATGAGATTGCGAGCCATCTCTGGTGTAACGTCGATGGCCTTTTGGAACTCTAGGGCTGCTTGTGACGCCTTGCCGGCCCGGAGGAGGTCCATGGCCGACTTCTTGCTCTCTTCGCGGCGTTTGGCGCGAGATCCTTCGGTGGCAGCTTTGCTAGGAAGAAAGTCGCCATCGAAAACCAGGTAAGGTGTGACGCCGAAGTGTTTGAGCATTCTCACCCTGTGCATGGCGAAGTCGACATATCTGGTAGTGTTAGGTACGAGGCATACGGAGGAGCAGGTGCGTAGCTCCAAAGTGCTAGATGGAGTGCATGACCAGGAACGCACTTACTTGCGGGTGGGGTTGCCTTTGGCCAGGTCAACGGCACAGGCAATGGCGCCGCGGTGAAGCCATCCATAGGCGTCAACACCGAGCGTCTCGCCGGCGAACTTCTTCAACTCGGTTGGCCTGTGAATGGACTTGAGAAGCGGGAGAAGGCCTATGGTGGCGATAGTGAGTTAAACGTCGGCTTGGCCGGAATCAAGGGAGAGAGGACGTACCTGAGACGCCCATTATTGATCTCAAGGGAACGACTCGCAGGTCTTCAAAGAGTCCAGAAGTCTTCCGAGATTTCGGGGCCTTGGGGTCACTCTTGGATCCGATTGAGAGGCCAACAAGCCGGACAAAAATGTGTGATCAATGCTCAATCCATCCGTCGAGAAGCAAGACGCGTGAAGCGAGGGCTCGCGTAGACCGTCGGGAGCTGGGACGCCAAGTCAGGTGATCTGGGGGCGAATGTAAACAAAGCAAATGGTGGCGGCCGTTGATGAATGCGCAAAGGGCGACTCGTTGGACGTGGCCACGCGACGAAGGGCTGACAAGTGAGGGGGTTGAAGGCGATAGAAATTCACTGTGATGCTGAGGTCGGAGGAGAGCAGATGTGCAGGTGGAGTGAATCACGGCTTCCTGCACGGTAAAGGGACGGTGTATCGCCGGGGTGGGAAGAGGGGACCTGGCCTTGCTATATTGGAACGCGAGTGTCCACACCGCATCGCGTCTGGTCCATACCTATCGCGACTGTCTCTTTTTTTCGCTTTGGCAGGGCCCAGGCCGAGATTTTGCCCCAGAAAGGCTTAGCGCATCCGGCCTCAGATCGTTGGAGCAACGTCACTGAGTCCCGCTCTGACCGAAGACCATTGGACCCTTCCTCCATTTAGTGGGGCATACCTTTTTTCTTTTCTTTTTGTCGTCCGAGTGCCACCACCGCTGTTCACAGCCTAGAGGAGCTGGATGGGATTTTCATCTGGTGGGGCACAGACCGACACTCACGAAGCAGAGCCATCTTCATCTCGATCTCAACCTTGACTGTCTCATACGCTCGATACCTCACTTCCGACACATCACAGGTGTTCCGTACCAACCCGCCGTCAAGATGCCCTCAACATTACAAAAGGCCCGCAAGCATATTGCGAAGAAGCGCAACGGCCACGACCTGGCCCTGCATGAGTTCTCCAGAGACTCCAAGCGCCTTCATAAAGCATCGATAAGAGATCAGAAGTTGGAGAAGCTCCATGCCTCAAGGAACAAGAAGGAGCAGCCCTTGCGTAAGATGATATGACTGCCTCTAGCTATCTGAATAGGGCCAATGAAGGCTGACATCTGGTAGTTGACCGTGCCCATTACTTCCAAAAGGCTGTGCAGGAAAAGGGTTCCGAACCCTTTGAGTTGGCCGCCGTCCAGGAACTTATCCACAAGTCCGCCCTTGAACTCGTAGCTCTTACCCGCCAGCGACTAACAGACAGGCAGGTTTGTGCACCAGTATGATGAGGAGTACGCCGAAGTCAAGAAGACCCGTCGGCCAGGACGCCCTGCGAGCCCCAAGGAGGACTTGCTGAAGCAGAGAATTGCAAACCTTGAAGAGGAGTATAGGATCGGCTTCTGTCAGTAGCCATCGCATGGCACCCTCATTTTCGACCCTGTTTTCTGTCTTCTAATTTCATCACAGACCTTCCCGATCTCTTGAACGAGTCCAACACACTCCTGCTCGACCGCTGGGAGGGCTCATGGTCTTACCTAACCTCCGTCGCCTGGGTCAAAATCACAAGTGACGGCACCATCAAGAAGTCTAGCTTCCCTCCCAAGGGTAGCTCTTGAAACAGTAGACTTTGGTACGAAGGCGTTTCCGGCGTTAAGAGGGTTCGTACCAGGCCGTAATCAAGTCAGGCCCTGGGCGAGAAACAGCAATTTCATTGAGACGACAAGGGGGTCTTCGTCGGCTCTAGTTCCTGTGTACGGGCTCTGGGCCAGCACAAGTTGTGGAAGGCACACGGGTCTTCGCGGAAGATGTCTTAGGCAAGCATGCGCTGTACCCAGAGTCCTGTTTGGCCAACAGACGGGTTCTCCCGGTTACATACATCAGCCATGCCGGCAGAGCGACGATGACGGGCGATTGCTCTGTCCACATCGAACACGCCTGATCATACCACTGGTTGTTTGGTTACCTCAAAGTTGCGTCCCTGGCCGTCACACACAGGGGTCGAGAAAGCACCAAACCTGATGAGCATGTGGTGTCATGGGGATCGCGCCACATCAATAGCCTTCTGAGAAGCATTCAATGTCAGGAATGAGCGGCACTATGTAGAGAGCCAACGTAGTGGCATCGCTTGAAATACTCACGACAGGTGTCGTCGGCGAGCCTCGACCACGCTTCATAAAACCTAACAGGGCAATATTATATCATCTCCTACCTCCCGATCATCGTTCATTGAGTTTCTGTGTTGCACAACGCAAGTGACGATGATGCCGGAAACCGTTTTGGGGGACCGTCGGTACAGCCTCTAGCCTAGCTAAATAACAACTCTCAGTCTCTTGGGTGGTCAAGCACCCCTTGAATCTATCTGCCCCAAGCCTTTTGGCCCAGACGAATGGAACCACGTTGTTCGTCAAGCAGAACATGCGTCGTTTCCCTCTCTTCTCACTTGATGCTTAAAACCCAGGTCTCGTCGGTTTGACGTGTTACATTGCACGGCTGATATCTCTCCCACTCCTTATTGTCATGAACCTCGAAACAGTTACACGTTTGCAGTATCTTTTGGCCGAGATGGACAAATTTACTATATTTGACCCCTGTATCCTGGGCCTTGGTGGCGAGAGATGCTGTGGCCGGCGTCGTAGAATGTCGCAGACTGAAGGATTGGGATGCCGAGCGCTTTATGTAAGAATCCTCTTGTGATGATGGTATGAGAGCCTCGGCTGGGTCCTTTATGGGCCGCATCGTTGTGAGCTTTCCTCGGGCACTTACTGTTCTGCGCTCTTGTCAAGTATATCATCTACCGAGGCCGCAGCCGGATAATCTTCAGCGTGGCAGACTTTATCTTTTTATCTCGAAAGCCTGCTGCCGGTCTTCTTATTCTGACCAGTTGCCCACGGAAGCCCCCGCCAGATCTCTCGCTGATATCCAAATCCTATACTCTTGCGCTACTATTCCTAGTTCTACCCACCAAAGTAAGCTTTGTTCGAGTAAGAGTTCACGATGAATTGTTGACCCGAATAGAAACGATGTGCAAGTACGTCAATCACGTCCGCGTCTGCAAAATGTGCAACCATCGGGACACAGTTCTTATATCAGAGAGGCTCTGTGTGCTGGCAAAGAAGAACGGAGGCTTTGGGAGTTGCGATGCTGGTATAAGCAGTGATAGCAACAGCACAGGCAACCATTGCTGGAAATGCAAGGAAAGAATCCGACGCATCCCTCGCGCGTCACCAGCATTACGGCATGTTAGTCTTCGCTGACATGGCGTTGTTGACGGGATAGCCCAGAGGAAAAGGACATGTCTAGCATCGGTTGGTGGAATAATGGCTGCGGGACAGTCCGTTGTCTTCGCAACCCAGTCATGAGCTTCAAATTTAGCAGGGTGTGATTATGATTTCATGTGGCTGGTCTGGCCATCGCCATTCAATGTGTAGGCTCTGGGTTGCCGACGGGCAGCCAGCAAGTACGCGGGTTCATCGCACCGGCGTCGTCCAAGACCCTGTTGGCCCATCTGATACCCTATTGAGATTAGCCTCTGGATTTGAACACTTAGAACATGTGGATGCAGTCAAAATCATGTGGAGTTGACAACATTTGGTGCCTGAATTCCAGAAGTGTTTGCAGATAGGCCCCATCCCGTTCCTGACGGTTAACAGTGCACCCTGTGGTAGGTCGGTGGAGCGTGCCTCGGAGAAAGGTTACGCCGGGATCTGGTCTGATGCCAAAAATTTTGGGAGCTCTCGAATCATCTCTCCAAAGCTCCTGCCGCTGGTCCAATTCCCCACTACTACCTCTCTCAACAAGCTTTTCCACCTTTCCGTACCGAACTCTTCTCAGCATCTTAACAGTCGACTCGTAACTCCGCCAACATGCTTTCCATCAGATCCATTGCGCGCTCCGCGCCTAGAACCCTCACCCGCCTCTCTCTTAGACAGAGCGCGGCGCGCCCAAGCGCCTTCGTCAAGGCCTCTTCATGGAGCGCCGCCGTCCAGACTCAGCGCGCATCCGCCTTCTCCAGCTCTGCCTTCAGGAAAGCTGTCGCCGGCGAGACCGATGCTGAGCTTGTCGCCAAGCTTGAGAGCGAGTTGCAGTTCGAGGAGGAGGTCAAGCAGAACGAGCAGCTCCCCGCGAGCGTCAAGGACTTCATCGACAACAGCCCCTTTGAGATCCACGACACCCCCGGCAAGGAGGAGGTCAAGTTGACCCGCAAGTTTGGCGAAGAAAAGTGAGTCTTGCTCATCTCAATGGACATTTCGAATGAATGTCGGCTAATAAACACCATCCAGGATCACCATCACCTTCTCCATCGCCGACCTCGCCAACTACGACCCCGAGATGTACGAGAACGACCGCGCCCTCGAGGACGAGGAGTTCGACTCTGACATGCAGAACCCCAACAAGCAAGCTGGCGTTCAGGCCTCCGGTGGCGCTCGCTCTGCCAACGCCGAGGAGCAGCTTGAGGAGGAGGAGGGCGACCTCGACGAGGCCGCTCCCCCTTGCCGCCTGAGCATCGTTGTTGAGAAGCCCGGCAAGACCCCTGGCGCGCTCAACATCGATGCCACGGCCCAGGACGGTGCTATTGTTGTCGATAACATGTTCTACTACGAGGACGGCAAGCTCGCCCATGCCGCCAACGCTGAGGTCGCCCACGCCCGCAGCGACGTCTACCCCGGTCCCCCCTTCGGCAGCCTCGATGAGGACCTGCAGATCTTGATGGAGCGCTACCTTGAGGAGCGCGGCATCACCCAGGCCCTGGCCGTCTTCGCGCCCGACTACATTGACGTCAAGGAGCAGCGCGAGTACGTCCGGTGGTTGAACAACGTCAAGGGCTTCGTCAACGCCTAAGCTTGGGACGACCAGTTACTCGACTAGAAACACAAAAATTAGGATCAAAATCTGGGAGGAAAGACTTGAACGATGTATGATGGCGGACGCGCGCGCGTGTGCGCGAGAAGTGTAAGATGATACGAAACCCCCCTGGAAAAGGAACCTTTCTTGGCTTGTCTTATAGCTGTTTCCACTCTACGATGTACCATACCATGGCCTGGCTGGCGTGCCGGTTGCCGACATAACAAACTATAATAACACAATTCCCCTGCACATGCGTTATCTTGAGACCTTTAAGGAATTGATGTCGTTCTTGGGTAATCGCAACCGTTACTAAGTTGATCATGTTTGTCTTTGTTTCTTGCCTCATTCAGCTATTGCCCTGCTCCCCAACCAGTCTCCGTCTGACCTCGCTCTGGATGCTTTCTGCAGTACACTGTATTGGTTCTAATCGAAGTCCCTGCTATGAGGTTTTTTCTGGATCTCTCCATGGCCTCTCATCCTCGTTCGTCCCATGGTTCCGTTCTGGCCTTTGTCTTGACTTCCACCGTTGTCCTAGACGTTGCCCCTCACCCTGGCAATCTTCTTCTTCCTCTCTGCCTTAATCTCATTCTGGCCGTTTCCAACGGCCGTCTAGACCACGTCCCAAAGGTTGATCTGGTCCTGGCAGAACGTCCTGCTTCTCTCAAGGCGGACGGGCTTACTGCCTCAAACAAGATGGCTGGGCATCTTCCCTGCTATAGGCTTGACTGAGCCTTCGCAGTAGGATGCGGAAATCGGTCGTGCTGCTAGAGCTGCTTGCTGCAGGTGCACTCCGGGGCGAAGAATCGCGTACAAAGGCCTCTAGTGCTGGAACAGGCCTCACACCGGAAGATTTGTATCACAATACTTGGAAAAGAATACCCTGGCGCCCAACTCCTACACTGGCTCCCAAGCGGCCGCAGCATCATGAGGGTTCGTCGCCGCCAGTGACTCCAGGCACGGGAAGATGGTTATATCGAAGGCTAGCTGTACGCTTGGCTGCGAAGAGGCCCGGCGTCCGGAAAAGTGATCTTGGGCTTAGCGAGGCTAGACATCAAGGCTTTCAGGTTCGGCAGAGTTGCGAAAACCTTCATTCTATTCGGGCGGCGCTGGAGTGACTGCCATACGGGATTTTCGAGACATGATGGACTGGGGTTTATGACGATCTGGATTCATTTGTCCCATAGGGGCTTCCACAGCTCGGCTGTGCGGTTCTCGCCTCCATCCAGTTGCAGAATAAGAGATTGGGGGACATATCTCACGCGACATCTGTGACACGTTCAAGGATGTGAATGGCGGGCAGGCTATTTCAGAGGTGGAAGTCATGTTCGAATGCAAGGTGACTTCGAGGCTCGTCGGAGTTGTGCGTGCCTTGGCATTGTGCCCAGAAAGTTCGAGACGAACCACAGCCTGGGTTTGCGTTACATATCGCCTCTAGGGAAATAGGGCGAGTTTCGGACATGTCATGGCAGAACCTTCCCAGTCGACCTGCGGGATGCTGCGCATAAAGAGCAATGGCGATGCCAGAGCTTAGATTTCTCATGGTAACCGGAGTTTTGTGTGCAAGAGATGAAAACGAGGTGGTGTAGGGTGGGAAATAAAGAAGCAATCAAGAATGAAAAGAATAAAAAGGAGCTAAGAACACGTAGTCCACTTGGCGACCGAACGAATGACTGGTATACTCTTACACATGGAATGTAAGGAACCTTGCTAGAAAGTCTATTGAAACATGCTCAGATACAACCCTACCAATGTTCTAAATATCTCTGGTCCTCGAAACGCGTACACAAACCCGCCCGTGTGTTAAGGAACTCGACAGGAGGATGGTGTATGTCAGTATGGAGAACGTCACTCACCATGACACGAACTGCCCTGTCCTAAAACAGCTTCCAAAGCTCACACAACTCATGCAGCGTGTGACCATTCGCTAACCATTTCTCAAGCACAGGGAAGAGACCTACATCAACTGGCAAGACCTGCCCTGCAGAAGGTGGCGAGGTGGAAAGAGAGCGCCTACCTCGTATGGAGTATGAGGTCAGGACTCTGAGGTTGGGAAATGTCAAGATGGCCTGTACCTGTCGAGGAGTTACATCCAGCAGTGAATGCATAAAATTGAATGCTGCAATCTCAACACCGCGGATGAGAGGTATGTCTCTAGCCATGACAAGTGGCTGCAGTAAGGCTTCCTCTAAGGGAGTGTTCCCATTGCTCATTTCGAGCGTAAAGGTGTCTGATTTGGCACATATCCAAGTAAACCTACACCGTGTGCTTGACGTACCTATCTGGAACACCTCCTCAATCCTTGGAAAGCGTCGATGCATCATCCTGCATGCTTGGCAGTTGACCTGGGAGAGTGAGCGTAACGGGGTTGAGGCGTTTGAGGCATTTGGCGTGACACTCAGCTCGGCGCTCGTACCAGAAGAGGTGAATCGTTAATCGCTGATTAGCATCAATCGGACTGGAGGCTGCTAACCCCCATCGCTCCCCGTTCGTGCAGGCATCGTACTCTGCGTTTGCAATGGTTGCGTCAACGATTAAAAGGAAAATCTCGAGAGGAAGATGGACGTTAGGCACTGACTGTGCATGGTTGGTGCGTCAAGTGTGTTGAGAGTTGAGGGTAGAAGGCATCTTGTTCGAAACTGGATGAGAGAAGTTATCCTTACTGTTGGGGATTAGCAAGCAAAGGGGACTCGAGGTATGGGGAACGATCTTACTAATGTGTAGTACTGTAAGGTCAGTTAAGAGTCAGATAAGTGTAGCTGGGTGTTGTGAAGAAGCAAAGCAGCTACAACTTGAAGGACAAGAGATAGTGTATTATAGATTACTACCCAGATATCTTGATAGTCCGCGAAACCGTAACCTTCACTGGAATGCTCAGAAAGTATCTACCAATGGCACCGAGCCTGAACAGCCTGGTCTGAGCCTCCATTAGCCCACACGACTTCAAGGGCAGGACATGTAGAACAAAGAATTGGTGTGAACAATCTTATTAGAAGACAACAGTGACGAACTCGAGCCAAAGACCTTATGAAAGCTTACCACATTGGCTTTGTCGTCAATAGATGTGTTCGGAATAGGATCCATAGGCGTAGTGCCCCATGAGAGACTGCAATCTTTCACCACGACCGTTGTAATCTTATTGAGTGAAGTTTGTGCTATAAAGCGTTGAGCTTGCCTTGTAAGATGCTAGCCATTCTTCCTCAAAGCCCTTGTGATTGATCAGACGGAGCATAAAATACAGCTTTGGCTGACCGGCTCTCCGCTGTAGAAGAGCACTATTTTCAAGCAGCGGCTGAACAGGGTTATACTCTGACTCGGCCACCTCCAATAGGAGAAGCATAACAGACATCATGATATGCCTCACCTTATGACAAAGACAGACCGTCATTTCGTAGTAAGTGAAGAACAGGGGATTGCCTTACGGAGAAGCGTCGACCGACACAGGAACAGGGGATGAGATGAAATGCATAATATGCAAAGACATACAGAGTCGTAGGGTTAGTCCAGATTTGGCACCAACACTTCCTACACCAGTGTAAACAACATTACTAATCCAATCTTGGGACAAATGAGGTGTTGTTGGCATTCACTGTGATCTAGCGAGGCCAACGGAGCCAACCAAATGTCAATTATAGTTGAAAGGCAACAGGATACCTTCGGGAGTCTGGCGATAAAGTGGCTCAGTAACTACGTTCTCCGAGTTCGCACTTCACGTATTGAGATTGAATCGTTGGTGACATATAATGGGGCATCAGTAGCATGTTCGCTATGTCTCGTTAAGTGGTCATAAAGAGAGTCCGTACAAGGTCGTGGGTTTGTAAGAGGACCCAGTATCCACCCCCTTGTCCCGTTTTCGATTCGCTAACGAGTTGAACTCAACATCAAAACGGAGAAAGAAAATCTCAACCCCAGTGCAAAAAAAATGTCCAAGAATGTAAAGAAGAAATTTGTGTGTTCAGCCAGACAGGCGACCAAAACATGTACCCTGCCATGTGGTTGCTATATGGTTGCTCGTCATCCACAAAGCCCTGCCAGTGTGGTGTCCTTCCAAGCGGACGTTTAGTAAGGCTTCTCGCCGATGCTGGAAATTTGGTTAGCCTTCTGCAGGTTGGTTTGATCTGTATTTGGAGACTTACTAGTTGCCAGGGGGAGAGTAGCGGGCGACGACGTAGGTGCCCTGAGAGTTGGTGGCAATCGCCATGCCAACCTTGGTGGTGCTCTTCCAAACAATCTGGGTGTAGTGACCGAAGCCCATGTAGTTGGTGGAGCTGATGGCCTCGCCATTGTACTGGGACTTCTCCGAGATCCAGGCATCGGCGGCGTTGACGTAGGGGCTGTCCTTGTTGGACTGCATGTACAGGTTCTCGCCCTGGTTGTCGGTCTGAGAGTGTGTCAGGGAGCCAACGGAGAGCAAGTGGGTGGCCCATTCCTGAGCATCGGCAGCGAGAGAGTTGTCCCATTCGAGAGCCGGAACGCCGACGTCGGTGCGGGCAGCGTTGTGGGCATCGAGAGCGGCCTTCTGGTCGGCGGTCAGTCCGGACGAGCCGCTGGAGGCAGCAGTTGTGGAGACGGGGGTGACAGCCTCCTCGGTGGGGGCTGCGACAGGGGTCGGGGTCACGGCCGGGACGGAGGTCGCGGCAGGGACGCCAGTGGGGGCCGGAACGGTGATAGTGGAGGTCACGGCGCCCCAGTTGCCGCCGTAGTTACCCCAGCCCCAGGAACCAGAGGGACGGCCGGGCCTCCAGGCGGCAGCCTGGGTTGCGAGAGCGGCAACGGCAACAGCGGAGAAACGCATTTTGACAGTGTAGTCTAGGGACTGAAATCACCGGGATTCTTGGATTTTGAAAGAATGAACGGAGGATGGAACCTGCCAAGGCGTCGATAAAGTAACCGCTAAGGGTGTAAAAAGAGTGACGGACGCAAAGGAGCGAAGAGTTGTACCTTGGGTGAAGAAACAAGAGCTGAAAGGGAAAGAGAGCAACCACGTTGGAAGTTATATATTTCGCATTCCGTGTTTGTTGTTTGCCTCCGCAGTCCTGTTGAGGTCGGAGGATTTTACCGCTGCGGTATTAAACATGATACGAGCGATGATCTCCCGTATGCAAGCCTCCACACCAGCGATATTAAACGGAAAGCTGGCGTCTCACCATCCCGCCCTTTCGGAGATGCACTTACGAATGACCAGTTCTCCTCGCAATCTAACAGGACCGGAGGACGCGGGGGGAGGTCTGGAAGGGATGGGCTCTCTCTTAGCGCGCCTCCACACGGCAACGACGTTTGCGAAGTTTCCAGATTTTTTGGATTGCGCGTGCAGGTTGGCCCAGTACCACGGAAGCGCGGAAGTTGGAGAACACCTTGGAACAACGGACGTCGTGCTGTGGACCACAATGACATTGGAAACGACACCAGATGCGTGGTTTAAATTTGACCGGGTACAAGCAAAAGCCTCCCTTACTTGCCTTCTTCCCCTGTCAACATTGTCACTCACACCACCATTCAAGGCCTCCAAGGATTTCTCTGGGACGTAGCCCTACCAGATTATGTCACATCAGTGGATCAACTTGCTGCCAGTAAATGGAAGGGACCACAAGTGGGGCCGAGCGTTTGGTCCAGGCAGCGGTCCATATCAAGTTCCATCAGGGATAATATCCCACAGCTCTTGGGTGTCGAAGTCTCCAAGTCTCTCGTGCACTTGTTGCCTTGAGCCCTTGACGCCTTCTCCCCCTGATCCACTCCCTCGACTCATATTCCTGCTCTCCAACTTCCCTGTTCTGCTCCGAAGGCCGAGAAGGATACCCGATAACCCTATTTGGTTTTGTTCGCCTAAGCCCAAATACCCCACCTGTCATTTCTTTTCTCTGACATCCTCACTCGTAAAATAATCAATGTTACAGCCGACGGACATTATTAATTATGCTTTGCAGATCCCGTCAAGCGGGACAAGAAGCTGAAAGGCGTCGTGAACCGAGTTCATTCGTTTTCTAGCGTGGAGTCCGCGTGCGGGGTCTGGCCAATCAAGGAGTGCACTTTGCTTCTTTGTTTCTCATAAACAACTTCAAACTCTAGCCTCAGTTGACTCGTTCAGGGGCAAAGACAGAAGTCTCTCGGAGCGTTTCGCTTTGGCACTGCAGCACCATGGCACTAGTGTACGTTCTTCGCCATCTGAGTCGATCTCGGTCGAGGCCCTCCTGACTTTAGGCTCCCTTCCTCCTTCCTTCTCGTCCCATTCCTCTGGTTCAAACCAGGCTGATCTTCGAGGATGCCGTGGTGGTCTCGCACGGGCCAGCGTAGAGTCCCGCATTCCCACGCTGTCGAACCCGGCTTGTCGGTATAGTCGAGTGGTTCGTCTTATGCAAAAAGAGGCTTAGACCTTTTCGTGGTTCGTCTGATCTTTGATTTCCACCTCTGCGCGACTGAAGACTACGCCCGGAAAACAAATAAACAAATCAACCTAGAATCTCTTATTGATTCGGCCACACAAAGATCATACTACATAAAATTCGAACTAAGTAGCATAAGTTGCCAAATCTCTTATCAAGTTAGACCAGTTTTAGTGTACTGTGGTCTATATGCCGCGTTTTATGGTCTTGTCGTGGTGGAACCCCGAGATTACAAAAGCAACATGCCTGGTCTTGGCCTAGTTACATCCCGCTGCCTGCACTTCCCTGGGGCCCTCGTTGCGCTACGAACCAGCTCCATATCTGTTGCACCGGCTTGATTTCTTGTTGCAAGCCGACATAATTCCATCACTTTCGCATCTTTCCCCAGCTGGACCCAAGCTGACCAAGATCTCGTCGGCCTTAGTTACACAGGTTTTGTAATAGCGCTTTGCTATAAGTTGCTCCACGAAACCTACAATAGCATGGAAATTCCAAGCTCGTGTGTTAATTGTCATCTACCCAAACGTTGCTTCGGACTCCCTACTCTATGACCCTTGAGTGCCCCCATACTATAAGCTGGCAAGTTTGTCTCCCGGCTCAGAATCACCAATGGCCTCCTTTGCTTGCAGTACTCGAATCCTTTAGTAAGCGTTTGCTTCTCGCGAGCATTGCAGATAGAGAGACATCGTCTGGCAGTAGCACGGATCAGAACAATCAAATGCGATCAATGTCTCTGATCTTCATCGTGAAAGCCCTCTTGTTACCAAGATGACGGCGGCAATCGCTTATATCTTGCCAAAGAACCCTGGACGCTTAGCTGTCAGGATTCGGCTACGTAGGGCTTTCCCGGATTGCTTTGTTCAAGTCAAACTTCTCCACTTGGCCCAGAATGCCTCTCGCACTTCTCAACTGTTAACCTGGAATCGTTGAGGTTATTGCAGAGCCTGATCAGGAGACGCGAGTTAAATCCCGCCCCCTGCTACGCGGACTGGAGTAAGCTTGTGGGGGCAAAATACGCGTCCCCCATCTCTCCGTTTCTGCTCATCCTCTGTTCAGCAATGTTATACTCATCCTAGTCATCCTAAACATTGGAAAGTCGATCTCTACTATGGTTTTAGCGCTGCTGAGATGCTTCCTTGTGATACCCGACAAGGCCGGCAACATGGCGCCCGGCATTGAGAACAATGTCCCGAACCCCACCATGGTGCCACTGTCATCTTTGACTTTATCGCGAATGGATTCGGCACCTGCGGAGCTCACCAGCTTGCACAGGCGGCCAAGCTCCGGCTGTAAATCAAAAGCCTGTTGTTTTTGACGTCTTTGGTGTTCCCAGTAAGATAAAGATGCATAACATTCAGTTAATAATTAATTACCAATTCTTGCTCCGAACCGAGGAGGAAGATTCTTTTGAACAAAATGAATGAAAGCCGAGACGGTTGCATCGGGGTTTCCAGCCACACTGGGACCCATCCGAGCACTGTCATGATAGGCACACTCTTAACTCTCTTGGCTTCCTTTATTTTCATGATAGGAATCAACATCCCCTAATCTTGTCTGTTTGCACCGGCTCTCGCAACCCTTGGTGAATACTGACTTGTTGATCTGACGACGACATAATGAAGAGGTGGGAAACTGTGGGACCGAGGCTTTCGAATGTAGTTTTCGAACTTAACCAAAACCCGTCATCGGTCGAGAGCAGCTAATATTCACTGCCAAGAACTTGCTTCTCTATAGTTATTCGACGAGTCCTGCTTCGATAGTTGCAGTTCGGATTTCTGGGGCTTTCTGCAGTCGACAGATGTATTCCACATGCGAGCAGGAGATACACCGTCAGACGAAACAAACCGAGGACTGTATATGAGACCTTATAAGCCGAGACTTACATCACAACATTTTGACACTCTTGGAAACAAGGCGTGAGGATGTGTGACACAAGAATCTCTTCACACAGGAATACAACCCTTGCAGCGCTTCCAGACGCCTCCAGGTCGCCATATGGCCATGTGCCTGTAGATTTGCCTTAAGTCTTGCTGTGATTTTAATTCGAGCTTTTAGACAAGAATAACATTCCAATTCATTTAGCCGTACGGCACTGCTTCTAGAAGTCACCTATTGTGGCTAGATGTGAAGCCATCCCATTTGACGGCTTGGTAAAAGAACAGAAGAGTGAACTGCCAAAGATACAGTACAGATAGTTGGATGGACAAGCACCGGCAAGCCAATCTGCGGTATAGCTAGATCTGCCTGACCTTAAAAATATTACTTGTACTTCACTGAACTCTTCCTTGTCACTTCCAAAACCCATGCTTTGGTAGCAGTTCAATCTCAGCTCATCCTCACCGCTGCCTGCATTCTTCCACGTAAAGGCTATACTTCAGCCTTCTTAGAACAGTACAAGAACTGTCCTCGTACCATTACAATCTTCTGAGTTGTGTCCTCTACCCCGCGAAAAGATGGAGCGGCTCGCCGCTCTTTTCAACTGCAAACATCAACCTCAGTGTCAGCACGTAGGAAGCCGCAAACGTGTTGTTTAAGAACCGACAGCAGCAGACAGTTATGAAGGGCTTGCTCAAGGAGCTTCTGAGTGAAACCAAACTTGAAATCTTTGAGAAACTTATCGACAAATCGCACGTCGAGGTAGCTGCCGGACCCGAGAATTGGATCGTCGACGGATGTGAAGACTCAATCGACCAGAGATACATCATTTTCAACCCCAATAAAGGTACCACGTTCCCAACCTGACGCTTCCAGCTCATCCATGTCGTACCCCATATTAGCAGTACGGCCTAGGTAACTAGTACCCAGTGTCTTGCTCGACTTACGCGCGTCTGCTACTTCATCAATCTCTAGATTCACGAGCACTGACCGGAAGATCAAGCATCTCCTTTATATCGGGGTCTACCGTGAACAAAAGAGCTCTATCTGGCGACTCGTTGGTATGACGGTGACGAAGAGAAGGTCTAAAAGCAACAGATAGGAGCTTGGATGACCTCAGGCATACTCAGAGGATCCGGTACCCTCAGGAGTGACTCGTCACTATTATCGAAACCATGATCCAGACACTTGAATCGATGCAAACACCAAGTAAATAGCTGTGTGCAGCAATCACACCGACCGCCCTGCTCATTTGACAGCGTCGCACTCCCGTGACAAACTGCGACCTGTTGACTTTGAGATCCACCCCTATTCGGCAGCGCAAGTCAGCGAAGAGCTGGGGCGTCTTATCTCACTGTGAAACCGCTACGAAATGCCGGTGTCTGAATCACCTGCGAAAAGCGCAGGATGGGAAATGAAGAGGGTACGGAGATCTTCAGCACGAAAAGGGGACCTACGGTGGCACTTTTTGCTGGAGGAGTTCAAGTCATTTTCAGCATAGCCGCATCATTGAAATCCTATACACTATTGAAAAATCCCCGTGTCCGAAACTCAAGAAAGAATCAATTGGCGGCCGGATCTATGCCCAGCTGACTGCATCTCATGCAACGTCGTTGATTTCGGTAGCCGCTCCATGCCGTCGTCGCCCACCGGACCGACCAAAGTCGGGCACCGCGGTGTCCATCGGATCCGGGACACGGACAAGAGACAAGCACGGATCCGAACCCTCCATCCCAACACCGCAGAGTTTCCGGCTTTTGGAAAGCCAAGCCCCCGTTGTCGTATATGCCCAGAAGTTGAGGCCAAACCATTAGTAGGCCAAGGGATTCCATCCCTCTACTCAAACTACAAACCCAAAAACATGAGCCCAACCAACGATTCTCCGCCCTTCAATCTGGCGGGGTCAGCCAAGCGCCTCGTCGCCCCATTTCATCCACAGTCATATACGTCACCGAACCTTGCTGGGCCCCTCCTGTTCCTCCTCAGTCTCCTCGCCAAGCACAGCCAGCGCGTGTTCATCGCATAGTTTGATCGAGACATCGGGTGAGACTAGCAGTACTGATATAATAGATTAATAGACCAAAAATGACCCCCATCTAAAATGTCACAACGCCCAGCCTCCCATGGAAGGCGTGCGCGCGCATGTATGTTGTGTATGTATAAGCTGTGTGGTGACCGCCCCTTCTCCGTCTCTCGTCACCTGGGGGGGGGAACACATTCAAGCGAATGATGCTTCCTCGTTCGATAACTCCCAAAGCCTCCCCCAGTGTCCGCAGCGCAATGTGATGCAGCAAACCCCCCGACTCGTCGTGAATCTCCGCCCCCTCCGACTTGCATGCGCGGGATAGGAGTTGTTCAAACGAGGGAATGATGACAAGATGAAACAAAAACAAGGCGATGCACCCCTCTTCAAATCCTGGAAACCATTCTGGTGTCATGCCGTCGGCCGTCAAGTCAAGAAAACAAAAATGAGGACAGTAAATCTCCAAGTCCCGAAATCCAGGAAGGCCAATAAGGAAAAGGGAACAGGGATGGAAGACAGAAGAAAAGCCTGATGCAGCAGTTCCAGCGCTGTAAGTATGTCCCTTCTATCCAGCTCATTATCTCCCACGTCCAAATTCATGGACCCAAAATAACTTCAGCCTAAAATCCCTGCGGACAGACAGAAAGTCCTCATACGATGCCACTCATGTCCCACTCGTTCTTCTGCGCCCGCGCGAGCACCTCGCGGCCCTTCTCCGTCAGCTCGGGCTTGCCACCCTGGTCCGTCACCTGCTCGAAGAACATGGGCTTGAAGACCTCGCCGGTGGTCTCGCGCTGGCGCGCCAGCTCGCGCTGCCGCTCCTCGAGATCGACCTTGACCTGCGTTGCCTTGGAGAACTGCTTGGCGTGGATGGCCTCGGTGACGCCGCCCCACATCGTCAGAGACTCGTTCTCGAGCTGCTTTTCTTTCGGGGGGAGGACCTTGGGCGCGACGCTGAGAGGGGCGAGATCAATAATGGTGTACCGCGCCTCAGGGGGGTGTGAGTTCTGCTTTTGGTCAGTACTTTGGTAAATGGAGAAGGGGGAAAAGGGCACGTACGACTGGCTTGGGTCCGAGAGTGAACTCGATCTTCTCACGCCACGGGCCGCTGAGGCGAGCAACAATGTCGGCCTCGGGCACATCCTTGATGTTCACCTTGTCGTCGTTCTCGGGGTCGTACTTGAAGATGATGCCCTCGACGCGGTTCGTGGAGCGGCCGAGCCAGCCAGCCTCGACGTAATGCAGGATCGTCTTAAGCTTGGTCTGAGGGCATGTAATGTACGCCATCTCACTGACGCTGACGCTCAGACTTCCTCTGAGAATACCGCCAAGGTGCGCAGCGGGGTGCGTCAGGCGATACGTCTCGCCGCCGCGCTTCTCGAGCGTGATGAAGATGCCGAGGTTGTGTTCGCCGGGCATGACGCGGACGCTGGTGCCGGTAAACTTGGCCGTGATCTGGTCATAGCCACGAGCAGAAAGACCCTTCTCGGGGCAGCTGATGTGGAAGGCGCTCACGGGCGGGTGGTGGGAGGTCTGTTCAGTGAGGTAGGAGATGCGGAGGGTCTTGCTGTCCGGGGTCGAGGCGCCGTGCTGCGGGACGGACAGCGAGACGGCAGATGCGTTCTTGTCGCCCTTGGCGGACTTGAAGCTGGACGAGCTGCTGGCCGTGCCGCTTCCGGCATTCTTGAGGGCCGCGGTGTTGATCTTGGGTGCATTGTCCTCGGTTTCCCAGTTGCACTATTGCGTCGCCGACCATTAGCATCGCGAGTCATGGAGGCCAGATATTGCACAAGCAATAGGGTTGTGCACTCACCCTGAAGAACTCTCCCAGACACGAGTTGTAGGGTTTGCAAGGCTTGCCCTTGACATACTTCAAGTCCTTTGTGAACCAGAAGCGGCAGACCTCAAGCATGCGGTCGAGGGGCTCGTCCGAGGTGCCGATGGCGGCGAAGGCGTTGGGCGCATCGAGGTAGTTCCAGTATTCGAGGTTCGGCGTCGGCTCAAGGAGCTGGGACGGGAGAGAGAAGCGCACGGCGGCGAGGTCGGCAACGCCAATGAACCTGGAAGGAAGACGCAGTCGGTTAGCCAGGCGTCCATCTGTTGAGAGAGAGTGCTTGTCTGTCTGCGTCTGCTTGCTAGCGATGCCGATCTCCGCTGACGATGGCTGCGATTTTACCCCTCCAGGGATCGTCGCTCGTCAGCCATCACACCGCGTCCACGGTGCGGGAGGTTTCGCCTCTCGTCCACAGTGTCGCTGTCTTCCTCTCGCTCCTGACGGCGGGCGGCGCATGCAGGCCAGACCGCCAAAGGGGACCAACAGGGGTGGCAAACTCACTTCTTCAGGATACCGATAAAGGTCTTGAGCTTGGAGCCGTCGCTCTGGGGCTCCTCGGGCGTATCGTGCGTAGCTGCGGCAGCCATGACTGATTTGTTCTATGACAGGGGAAGATTCGAACGGTCGGACAGTTGGGATTTGGTGGACGATGACGACGACGACGGTCTCTTTGTCTACTCGCTCCAAGAAAGTGCCCAGGCACAAAAAAGCGGCTTGCTGCGATAAGGTGGGGTGCCGAGAACGGGCTGGCGGGGTTGAGATGCCGAGTTGGGGTGGAAAAGGGCAACTACAGCCCACGGTGAGGTAACGCGGAATAGCGTTACAGCAGCTTTGCTTCTCGAGAGGTTGTTGCAGAAGAGATTAAAGGTAGGAGAGCAAGAGAGTAGGCCAGGTGGATTATCTCGACGCCGGGTCAAAGATGTGGTGCGGTGAGCGGGTTATGTTTGGGTGCGTGTGTGCGTTGAGCGCGTGTCCGTTTCGTTTCAGTCGTTCCGACTCGTGCGTGCGACAACGGAGAAAACAGACGGTTGAGACCTCTCTCCGTGTCCCCTTGTAGATTGGAGAATATCCTATCGGAGATGCGGCAGGGTGTCGAGCAACGGCGCGAGAGACTCAACTGGAGATGCTTGCGTTTTTGTTCCAAGCAAAAGAGGCTGGAAATGGCGGTGGGATAAAAGCGAGAAGGGGAAAGAAGGAAGAGGCGACGGCCACCTGAACGCAAACCCAGGCCCAGGAGGTACGTAAAAATGTCATGCACGGCACCCGAGTGGACAGCAGGAAAATGGCGAAAGCAGCCAGACACACTGCGCGGCAGAGAGGAAGCTCCATGCATCGGCGCGGGAAGCGAAGTAGTGACGCCGCACAGAGAGCGCTATACCCGCAAAGTGAGGAGCGGGATGGTAGCGCTAAGCAGCCCACAGCTGTAGCTCAACCGAGGGAGGTACTTGCATGCACAGTGTTGATCTGTGTCAGATGTGAGATCTGTCTGGTCCCAGTATCAACAAAGATGCATCTTGATAAGGGGCCCGCACCGTCTCTCAAAGTCCCTGATAACGTGACAGGGTTTCAGATGCTGCCGGAGCCCGCTGAATTCTGGGCAGTCTCTGGGCGGCACCAACTGCCCATCACTTCTAGACCTTCTCGGTCTGATAAGAGCTGCGATAAGATACCGCACGTTCTGGTCCGACATCAGAAACGAGGGCCTTGCACCTCTGACTTTTAGCAACTGGCCAACTCCGACCAGACGATCATGTAAGTCAAACAAGAAGAACCTCGCCATTGCGTCTGTCTTTTGCAGTTTTCTGGTTACGTTGAAAGACTCTACCACTGTTCATCATCCCATGATTGACCTAGCCACCACGACCACTACCACCGCTACCTCCCCCCTCAAGAGCAAGAAAGGCCGGGTCCGGTCCGCCAGCATGTGCCAGCCCAGATGGTAAGCCCGCAGGGCAGCCTCGTCCGCCCAGGGCCGGACATCGGCCAATCATCCGCGCACATGTCCAATCCGACCGCCGTCACAAGCTCCTCAGCGCCTTCTTGACTCGAGCCACCTTCTCCTCCTCCTCACCCCTCAACATCGCGAATCGTGAGAACGTGAAGCACATGGTAGAAACGAGAGGCTGCGGCCGCGTCTGCCCCTTTACCCGCTACGAGATGTTGAAACTTTGTCGTTATCGGGTTGAAGACCCGTTACGCGTATGGCACCTGACCGGGCCTGGGACATTCCTGTCTGCAGAACTCACCACGTCCCGTTGTTTTAACCTTAATTCTCCGAGACAACGACATAAAGGCTGCGCTTTGGACCTTCATTAGTACATGAGATGAACTCTTTGCGAGGCTGCCGCCGTTTGCCCGGGACCGCAGAGACTATGCCAAAGAGATGGCAGGAAACAAAGACCGTCCTTTGACGCAACGAGGCTCGTGAAAGGCGGGTTCGCACCCCGCCACTCGTTGGACGCCAAAGCCTCTCTCCAACTCTACGAGCCCTTCGACTGGCCTACCCAAGAGCCATCACAACCAACCTCCAAGCCGGACCGGCTAGCTAGCCAAGGTACTATGTATCATATCAGAGCACGTAGCACCAACAACCAACAATGATGGCAACCGCCCACTCAACTACACGTGATCTGCTTTTGATAGCTATGCCGTGGGCTTGTCAGGATGCTAGCACGATGGCGCTGCCCCCAAACTGAGCCAAACTTCAACCCGCAATCCGGATCCTCTCAGCCAACTCCTCTCAGTCAACCTCGGCGCTCATATTCGTCTCCATGTGCAACGTTCCCCAACGGTGACTAACAGGCGCCTACCGGTGTCCATCCACTTCCCGTTGGATCACGAGGGAATCCCACCCTAGAGCCGCATCCAAGTCTCCGCCGCCACCGCCCCTTACTCGTATCTCGTGACCTCGCCCTCGCATGAAGCCATCACGAGACACGCACACACACACACACACACACACACACACACACACACACACCTGCACTTACACCTGCACCACCTGCCCGCCCCAAGGGGCGTGCATTACCTAACCTCGTCTGTAGGCCTTTTCGCGGCTCACCGGAAAGCTGCTGCGGCGACTGCTACTGTTGCTGCAGATCCCTCGTGAACTCCTCATGTCAGGCCATCCCCAGGGTTCTGATGGGGGAAAAAAGGTGTCATCCAGGGCCGCGTGCGCGAAAGGGGGGCTGTGAGCATCTCCATCGTCAAATCTCCTTTCCCCCGTCTCTCGTCGCCAATAAAAAAAAATACATCGTTGGCTTCGTACCGCCAGTATCTTTACATCAGACCCTCATCGTGCCCACAAGAGTAGGAGTAGAAGGTGACAATACCCCTTCTCCATCCATCATGCAACCCTTCTCTCGCATCGCCTAACCCCCCCGGGGATCTTGGTTCCGTAAGAAGAAATTGAATCCTTCTTTTTTTTTGGCGAACCCCCAATATTGCCCATCCGGAAACCCCCTCCCCCTTCGATATTAACGGACCCCTCGAGATAGCTTCTACCAAACTTGCCAGGAATGCAACGACGTCCCACCCCTCGGGGAAGGACAGCGTACCTGCATTCGGCACTCACGTCGTTGAGGGACGAGCTGGTCAAAACACCCACCACCCCGGCTCTACTCTTCGTATAGCTCCGTGAGCTCCTCCCACCAACTGCCAACTTCAGGGTCTCCGGCGCAATGGGAATCTTGGAAGATCTGCATTCTGACCGTTCTCTCAGCATTCCAACTGACGGGTTCACCTGAAGGGTCGCATCGCATCGGTGGGAGACAAAACCAGTGAATGTTACCCAGGAATGCCAGAAGCGGACGCCGGCCGGGAATCAAGCTTCAATATCAACCCCGCCCAATAAGCACTGACATGGTCCATATCGTCAAATGTTTTGTCGGCCCCCCCTCCCCTTCCCCTTTCTCTGCTTGTTGCTTCGCCGCACCGCCCTCCCCATTTCCATTCTCCGGTGTCCCAGTGGCCCCCGCCGGGATTCCGGCCGAACACGAGAGATCAACGCGTGGCAAAGTCCCGTGGTCGACCGGAGCCCAGGGCCCGGGCATCACGGCCCTGCTTGATCCAATGCGCCGCCGTGCCCACCCCCTTCTCCTTGAGATCCTCGAAATCCTCAAAGTCGGACATGCGTCTCGGGGAACCGGGGGGGGCCTCACACCCACCGACCTCCCCCTTTCCGGCTCGATACCCAGCTCCTCCCATGTCTGACATCTGCAAACATCGTACGCGAATAACGTCAGTGCCTCCTCTCCAATACATTCCCAAGTCACGGTTGTCGCCCCCCGTTGTGGCTCAGCACTCTATAAATATATCCCAATTCCAATGATTTCCCCAGGGGGCCCGCGATCAAGGGTTCCATCGACTGATTTCCGCCCATCGAGAAACCTACCTCGTCGAGAAATGATCATCGCGGTGTTAACTTCATTCCCGAGTCGCTCGCTCCCAAGCCCAATGCAAACCTTGTTTCGTTCTCTCTCAACCCCGATGACTGGAACCGGCTCATCAGGGACCATCTGCCACATCTGTTCTTTATGCCCCCAAAAAGGGCGGCGCACACCCGGTCCACAGGCCCCCGGTGCCCCCGCAAAACCCACGCAATGGAAGGCCCCATCGAAGAGTTTTCTCTCCTCCAACAGTCATCCGCACATCGCCAATGACCTCATGATCGGCGGAGGGCCACCTCACTTGGGCAACCGACGCCGTCAATAATCGATGCATCCCGGCGGCGTCCGTGGGGACCCCTTATACATAAAGTATTCCTAGGGCAAATCCGCGACCTCAACCCTGATCCCGGCCGGGCCACAGGGCGTGCGTCTGCGAGCGCGCGCGCGCGCGGGATGCCCTCCGACCACCACTGAGAGGCCTTTGATTGCCGGGCGACCACGATAGGAACCCGGCAATTGGCCTCTGCTGGCTCTGCCCAAATACATAGTAACTTTGAGGAGATTGGACCAGAGTCCCGTGCCCAACCTCCGCAGTCAACGGTTGTGACAAGCGGATCTGATGGATGTGCGGAACCTCGCTCTTCTTCTATCCCCCCTGTTTGGGCCACCGTATGGGAAGGTCAACGTATGGGATGAAGCTTGCACATGTAAGTAAACGGCATTGTACCTGCGCATCTGCCATCAGTACACTTTTTTGCCGCCGTTAGTGCTGCAACCTCTGCCCGGCCACCCTCGTCCATGGGCGCTTACAAGATTAACCCTAAGCGTCGTCATTTCTTAGTCCCGAGAGAAAGGGCACGTCCCCGGGGAGAGGGAGGACTCGACAACGGTCCCTGGGGGCTGTCTTCCCATGTCCGGCAAAGTGCACGTTGTGCCCCGGGCCTCCGATTGCAACGTGAGGTGGACCACGACCCAAGCAGGTGAAGTCAACCGTTCGCTAAGGAGAGAGGCTGCGCCGATGCATATTGACGAAAGCTCCTCATCACCGGCGCGCCGGACAGCGGCTTCTCGCGTCTCCACAGTGCAAAATTTGGGTGGTGCTCCTGTCGTGTGTGTACACTACCCGTACACATACCTACGGCTGCGGGATATATGACATTGTGCCTGCAACTGACTGCTGCGCTCGCGGCTTGGTAAAATTGCAATTAAGCTCAAGGATGATGAACCAGGGCCCACGACCTAGCGCCCACCCTCCCCTCTGTTTGGTGATTGAGGATTATTCCCCTCCAGATGCAGCTTTGGTACAGACATTTGGACTGACTCGCGGGCAGCGTGCGAGCTGCACTTTGACAGGTTGATTGGTACATAATGGGGCATGATATTGTCCAAATTGCGTCATCGCCAGCGTCCTGGACGGCCTGCCTCCGTTCAGAGTTCAACGCACGAGACGTCGTGGAATTTGCGAGTTGCAGTCGTGGCAGGGTCGTGAGGCACGGAATGCTACACTGCGCTGACCCGCGAAAGTATTACCCGAGGCCATGCGACTTTTGATAGGGAAACTTTCCGAGGCGCTTGCACGCGATGCTGAGATGAATTCGACCTTTTCTGCCAGAACCCATCGCGCATGCACCGCCAATCCGCGATGGCCGACATGAGCACGGCGTAGCCATCGGATGTCGGGCTCACTGGCGATTTCACTGGCGATCATGCCCAAGAATGCTCGAGCAGGTCCCTGCGGTAGACGGCAGACAGGACCCTTGAGGGGACCAGACTAGCAGATTGCCTAGGTAGCCGACAGTCGGTATCGATCGCTGTGTAGGGCTCGCAATCGTTAGTCTTGCTGCACCCCAGGGGACTCCGGCGCGGGATGGCCCAAGATGGCTTCAGACTATGTCGATGAGCCCACCGATTGGGATGCACACCGTCAGCTGTCACAAACTCGACCGGACACTGAGCGCGCGTGAGAGAGAGAAGCGGCGGAACGCCATGGGGTACGCTGGCAAACCTATTCCCCCATGAGTGTGTGCTCCGATGCCACACGCCCTCTAAGACCCATAAACATGCATGGCAACTCCTTCGCTTTGGCGTGCTCGGAGACCTTGAACCCAGGCTTTGCCAGGGCCACCCACACAAGGCAGCCTAAGACGTTGCATTTGTAAAGCTTGGCGAAATCTGTGGCCCTTGACACTGTTGTGCAAGACAAAGGGCTCTGGGTACGTCTGTGCATACTGTCAACACACTAGGCCATGTTGCCAATTCCGGGACTCTGTCAATAGCGCAACCCGATACTCAAAGTATTCCGAGCGTGGCATTTGACAGCTCCTCACCGTGCCAATGCCACGGCGGTCATCAACCCGAGGGCGGCATCGTCGCCGGTCACGTTGGTCTTGTGGCTTACATAGTACTGTGGGATGGCGGCACAGTAGATTGAACATGGCTCCCTGGGAAGAGAGGCCTTGAGATCCCGGGGTAAGCTTCGGGAGCCCTCTGTTGGGACCTGTCCAGTGACCCATCGACAAAGTACTCTGCCATCTCGCCTGGCAGCACCACCTCCGTACCCACCCGGCGAATTACCCGGCTAAGCAGTCGAGTTGAGCACAATTTTGCTGTGGCGGAAAATGGTGGGTGCCTCTGACTGCTCACGTACGTAGACTCGGTAACACACTCCGCCAGGCGAAGCCACATCATCCATGTGCCGCGTCCCGAACAGCGTGAGGCGCCGAGACTGGGTCCCGTAATCCGATGTATCGTCGAGCCGGAAAGAAAGTGAAAACGGGGCCTTTTGCAGGTAGTATGACGTTGCCCCAGGCTTCACAACACCCCGATTCGGACGGCTTGGAAAGTGTATGCACTGAGGAGCGTGGAGGACGGTCGGCCAGCTCCCGTTTAGGACGATTCTCTGGATCCAGTGCATGATCAGATGGCAGGGTTCGGGTTTCGAAGCTGTTCCGCCCAACTTTGTAATTGGTCTTGGGAAACCACGGCATGTCTCCTGTCGACGCCTGTTTCATCTCTTTGCAACGGTTGATGCTGCAAGCTCCATCGCGTTTACGGCGTCGATCACTGCAGTGAATCAAGCGTGCGACGTAAAGTTCTTGCCCACGGAAATATGCAGATGGTGGTGTAGTGACGAGTAAGAAATGGACGAGGGTCGACTCGGCCGCTTATTGGAGATGACGGAGCGAGAGGCATCGTATGAGGCCAGTGGAGCCGTGGGACATTTCCGTGAACGAGACCCGCCTCAGGGAGGAGAAAAAACAGTGTTTTGCCGGACGCCGTATGACATCATCCATCCGTGGCGATGCGGTCTCTCTCCAACCTCCCTTCCTGGTCCTTGTCGAAGTTGAAGATGGAAATCAGATGGAGCATGCCCAAGCCGGGTCCCCTGAGTCCTGTAGCTTCAGGTCCTCCTCCGTGTGTGTGTGCCCACGAGAGGAAAGCAAGACAACGGATCGGGGTGCAGCCCTCTCCATCCAGAATGCACTACTTAACAACATCCACTTTGACAATGAAGAAAATTTTGGCGTTGGACTCCATCCACCATCCGTGTGGTACCATGCAAAAACCATGAGAGTCACAGTCTATGTTGGGAGTTCCATTTTGGCTGGTCACTGATGTCGTCAGCGAGGCATTTGACTTTGGCGATGGCAACAACGCGATTTCGGGGGGGGAGGGGGGGGGGGGGGGGGGGCGAATTTCTCTGGTAGAACTCTGTTAATCCATGTCCCATGCTCACGCGCCGGCGCACACATTTGTCTGCAAGTGATCACGAGGTTGGCCCTACGAGAAGCTTCATCCCGTGCATGACGACAGCAATGCGGGCTTGTACGCGGGAGGCGTGTATGGTGTGAACCGCAAATCTGGAAGGGGAAACATTGGGACGCCAACTACCGTCGCTTGGTGAATTTCTGGGTCTGGGCTAAATGCCCGTCAACCCAGGACCATGCGATTCATTATTGTGTACCAATGCAACGCCCACTCTGAGGCTGATAGAAATTTGCCCGTAAACGACAACGTCGTCGGGTCTACCCCTGTGGCATGAGGCGTCGATACGGTTCTGATGCCAAACTTTGAAATTTGACTAGGATTCTTGGATCAAGTGTTGCTGCTGTTGCTGCTGATTTCTGCGCTGCAAAGGTGTGTTGTCAGGGCCTTTGTCATGCTTGACAAAGATTTGCGTCGTCTTTGGCTGTTTGCATAGTAGTCTGTATACATGATGGATGTTCGTCGGCGGCTGTTTGGTGTTACCATTCCCTTCGACTCCATATGCACTGGCGTTCTCTCATCTATTTAACGGGGACTCCAGGTCGCGAAATATTGCCGTCCGGGTTGTCAACTCAGGTCCGGACGAACGTCTGATGATGCGCCACCTTCCAAGGACGACTGTTAGTGAAATCGGTATCGAGGCTACCGTGCGATTGGCCTGGTGTCTCCTGTCAAAGCTGCGTACTGGGATGAACTACCACACCATGCCCGGGGGTCGACTCTCCAATGTTATGGGAAAAGGGATCCACATCACAAACGGATAGGCGAAGCCTTCCTCCCGACTCCCGATGTTTTATTTCAATGTCGTTTGGGTAGTCGGCGCCATCCTGCCGCACACCCTTGGCACACCCTGCAAAACCCCACAAGAACTTAGGAACGGCAGCTCGCCCCTCGCCTGTTAATCAAAACATTTTGCGCAGTTGTTGCAGCGCTTTGGTGAAGTTTCGAACTCTAGACACTGGATTGTGGGTAAGGAGGTTCGTCCATGTTGCCGTGACGTCAGAGCTTCTCCTCTCCAACCCCCGCCTCATCCTGAGTAATTTAGGGACAATCCCAGCTGCGCGAAACACATGCCCAGCCCTGGGGTTAGACCTGACATGAGACGGTCTGGACCCCCATATCCAAATTCAGGCCTGTCGTGAGGCTGCCGTTCACGTCTCCCAAACCGTTCACGCAGCACGGCCGCCGGGTGACATCGCCTTGTTGTTCTTTCAAAGCTGCTGGCACTTCCTTAGCGTGGCAGTGGCGCTTTGTAGGCGCTGTCTTTAGCTAGCTTTCGCCGCCTAGAACGAATCTCAGGCCCGGTGATTGTATTCTGCAGGGGCAACTGTCAAGAGTTGAGTAGGACCCAGTGCCTCCACCGAACTATTGGGACGTGCTGGGAAATGCCGTGGCCAGCGGCTGGTCCAGTTCAAGGGGTTTTTTTTTTGGTCTGGCCATCGCTTAAGCCTGCATCGACAGTCGATCTTCTGGCGACGCGCACGCAAGCAAGCCCAGCTAAGCCCTCTATGCTCTGTCTGATGGCAATGAGGGTGAAACCGTGGGTTCACATAATCTCTCACTGACCCTCTCCCCCGCTGCCAGAAGTCTTAGAAGGTTTAGTGTGAAGCCTTTGTGTGCTTGAAAGCAGGAGGTGGGTAGTTATCAGACACATTTGTGCCCCAAAATCGAGGCTCGATTGAAGGCCGTGGTAAATAAGCTTAGATGAAACAAGGATCGCAGTGTCGTTTTTCATCGAATATTCTTGCGCCAATGCACCAAAGTGCCTGCTGCCGGGGTCCCTCACAAAATCCCAGTGAACGGTAAATGACAGGAGCCGCAAGTGTTTTGGAGTCCATAGTTTGGCTGCATCTCATGCTTCGATCTGATGGTTCTTGGAGGAACGTCTAGTTCAATCGGCGCCCAATGGTTTTGGTTGCTCCTCTTCGGCGTTTTTGTTGGACTCGAAACGGCATACTGGAGCCACACCATTGCTGGGAGTCGCTGGTGCGTTACTGGCATCGTGTTTCGGGATACGTCTATGCACAACAGCCTAAACTCGAAACCCTGAACGAGAGTTGTGTCGTGGATATGAAGGCAATCCAGCTCCGTTCTTGGCATCCGGGACTTACTATGCGAATGCCGATGAACTATGTGTCTGAAACTAGGCCGATACGAAAGACGCGCCGGGGCATACCCATTGAATATCGTTCGCCATTAATGTTATGACGTTAAAATCGATTTCATCAGCACGTTATAGTTGTTGGTGTTGACAATAGAAGGATACAGACACTGTGTGCCATGCATTCATCAGCCCGGGGGGGGGGGGGGGGGGGGGGGGGGGGGGGGGGGGGCTGTAGTGTTGCCGAAAAAATAGCCAAAATCGTCTTTCCGTCATGTGTTGTCACAAATCATTGCACACAGCCGACAAAGCAGATCGCGGCTGATTGTAGTCTATCCAGGACATATGGAAGCGCCCCAACAATCGATTTCGCGGAGATTGCACCCCCTTCGAGCAAGTACCAGCCGAGCTAAAGAGGCATCACGAGAGACGCGTTACCTTTGTATCACTTTTTATCGTGTTGGGGATTCTGAGATAATTAGACTCAGACTCGGTGGTCGATGCAGCAAGCCCGTCAAGGACTTTAAATGGCCATGACGATCGTGAGACATTCCCAGCGCATTGTGGCCAATGACACTTGTCTATTGCGTGCGGACGCATCTCCGTGTCATTGAGTGGAGGAGGGCAATCAAGACAAATCCCTCGGTGTGGCGTTATGATCCAACTGGCGATTTGCATTGCTGATATGGCTGACAAGCGGGTTCTTTTCATACCGTGTGCCAGCCACAGTTGTTCTTGAGTGGCACAGAGCCAATAAACTGCCTGAACGGGGCGGGAGCCATGCCACGTGCCGAGTCCCGGGAGGGTACAAATGAAGGTTTCAAGGGCGACAACGGCGCGCCCGACTAACAGAACGTTGACGACGCTCTGATAGCGCCACTTGTGAGTTCGTGAGATGGTGTGTAACGGTCGGCCTGGCCAGTCGTCTGGAGTAGGTCAGACTGGCCGAAAATTATCGTCGAGAAGATTCAAGGATGTCGAGTCAGTACAACCGCAATGGGTGGAGTTAAAGCGTCGAGCACACCGGGACGGTGGCAGCCTTGCGACGAGAGATTGCACCCCATATGCAACTTGCATGTCGATGGAAAGAGTGCGAATGAGCGTGCGTTGTGCTGCTCGGAGTCTGCCCCGTGGCAATAAGCTAGGGCCGAGACAGATTCGATACCCGTCATATTCCGTCAGTCAGGGGTAATCTCGAGCAACAGGAGCACGCTGTGCTTTTAGCGATGGATAAAATGCTGATCGCGCTGTCTAAAGTCGTGGTCGACATCGAGAAGGCGACACGACTCTCGTGGTTGCGGCGCATGGAGCAGCGACCTGCCCTTAGTGGCCAAGCAACGGCGCGCCGCACGAGCCCGATTTTGCGATGGACAAACTTTACTATCGTTGCCATCGAATCAGTCATCTACGACACTCAGCTGCAGCAGACGTGGGGTGGCGCCGATGATGAGATCCAGCTTCAAGTGTCGGCTTCCCTAGCCGTTGATGCGATGATCGGCTGGAAGATGAGCACGAAGATTCCCGTTGTTGACAGCCCCCGCCGGGCAGGTCCGTTTCTCGGGATCGCATTCAGCGAGCATGTCGGCTGTCCCTAGCGTACAGGAGTGCAGCGTGCCAGGCCAGCTAAGGTGTAGCAGCTCCATAGATGCCGTCGGGCATGACCGTTTCGGTGTATCCTTGAGTCCGTCAAATGACCCAGAAGGCTTTGCCCTCGGACACAGGCCGTCCTGGCGTAGCTCGATTGGGACTCGGTAGCTTCTTCACTTCGTTCAAGGCGCTTCGGCGAGGGGGCAAAACGGAGATTACCCAGCCACACGGCCTAGGGGTCCAGGGGTATTTTGGCAGACCGGTTCTAACGTATAACTGGGGTTGTGTAGAGTAGAGTTGCAACAAGGTTAGGACTATGTACAGCAGTGCTGCACTCGGTGGTACGAGTCGAGACATTGGCCATATGGTGAGTTATGGCGAGGGTCGGCGTCTCGTCGACCGTGATTACAGTGTTGGCAATTGTTGAGCTGAGTCGTGTGCTGATGGACTAGAAGGCCCTATCAAACTGTCTGGTCGGGAATGGCCAGACGAAGTGGTGGTGAATAGTAAGTGGACGAGGCGGCCTCTTTGTGGAATGCGTCCGAATCATTAGACGAGACGGAAAAGGGGAGAGGAAGGGTTGGCAGACAATGTCGGGCGGCTTGACAGATGGATCGAAAAAAGCAAAGAATGGTGATCGATTATTGCCTGGTGAATGAGGGGCAAAGTGCGGCTTCAATCGAGGTGAGGCTTGTGCCTTGTGCCGGGCTTGACCCAGTTGGCAGAGAGCCCAGTGGCAGCAAACATCGTTATGCAAAACAGTGCTTGGTACACAAATAAACAAAACAGCATGCGAGACGAAGTTGTTCAATGCTCGGGTGTATAGCGGTACGGTTGAGCCTTTTCGTGGGGGCGGCGCTGGGGCATAGAGCAGCGAGCTGTCAGAAGCGCGATGGTACAGGAAAGAATCGATCCAGGACGCAACGCCTTAATCAGACGATATCCACTTCAGCCCACATCGCACCGCGACGGTAGGAGCATTGGCGGACTAAGCAGAGAAGGATGAAGCCTGTGAAAGGGATAGGAAAAAGGGAGCACGGCACACGGAAATGCCAAAGAGAGGATGGGGAAAACAAAAAGTTGCATAGCGCCGGAAGTGGAATTGGCTCGACAAGGTGGTCGGGTGGTGATATGGGCGAGGGAAGGGGAGGGAAAGACGTAGCGGTGCACTGATGCAAACGAACTGTCGCGTTGGAGAGGAAGGATGGGTCAAGGTGCAAAGCACGATGCCGTTGGGGGTAAGATAGGTAAGGTAAGGCAAGGTAGTATGGACTACGACCTTCCTTGCCAGAGGCGAGGAAGCACTACAGGTACCTACCCAAAGGTAGGTATCCGCGAAATGTTTTAGAGTTTCGGCAACATGTCCTCCATGGCGCACCTGCCATGTGCGAGGTTTCTCTTTTGAGCCAATGTTCTTAACATAGTAGCGATAATAAGAACGGCAAGAGCAGCAGCGGCCAGGGCAACGAGGACGGACAGTGTGGGCAAGCGACGGATGCGCCAACCGCATACGGGGTGAGAGAAGAAACGGTTACCTCGTTCATGGGCTCCTTCTCCCAATCTGTTTGAGTCAAGCACATAATGTGGTGAGACTCGACTTCCCAAGCCAGGTGGGTGGGTGTGCGCCGTACCTGACTGACGGCAATGAGGATGTGGAGGAGCGAGGTGCGCGATGCGAAAGGGGAAACCACTGTAAAAAGGACTTTTGAAGCTCAAAACTCGTTGGCCCAGGCACAATAATATGACTCCTGCTAAGGCGAGGCAAGGCCTAACTAGGCAGGCATGGCGACTTACAACCCTTCGGCGACCATCCGTGCCTGCCTCCGCCTCCGCCTCCGTCTCCGTCATGCCCATTTTCCCATCTGCCATTTGCCCCAACTCGGGCAAGGCAGTGCAGTGCTGCCTCGCCTACTAGCCAAGATGGGACACACGGCAAGAGGCGTTGAGTTCAGACGCCAAAGATTGTGCGGAGCAGCACGAGTAGAAGGGACGGGGGGAAGAGGACCGGCCAGAGAACCAGACCTAATCCAGCGCAAAGGGGCCTGTCATCTGAGCAGAATTACCTCTCTCTCCCGTCCCGTCTGTTCAGGCCTGGGAGAGAATAGCTCATGAGCACCAGAACCTTAGCCATCACTATCGCCTAGCACAGGGGACGAGCGGCGGCGACGGGGGATGCTGCCCAGTGGCAACCTCGCTGTACACTAGGTGTGCACTCTACGCAGCCATTATCTGACCCTTCTCTCGCGTCTCTCCGAGTCACAGCCGCCCGCCTCTCGTGTCTTCCTGTGTCAGATCGCGGTCAGCCAACAAGAAAGCAGTGTGGAAGGAGAAACTACGTCAGACGGCCAATATCGTCTACAGGTATAGCGCCTTGCTCCCCTGTCCATCCCCCACTCTCCGAATCTCTCTGCTCCGAGTCTACTGAAGTTACATAGAAAAGTGTCGGCTACCTGTGCAGGGGGGGGGCAGTATGGTCGGCCAAAGGACAGCAGCGAGTAAATGGTACGAGGTACCTCGACAGAAAAGAAAGACATCGGGGCAAGTGCAGAGAGTGCGAGCCACGATTGAGGTCGCCACACTTGGCTTGCACCGGCCTGGGCCGGGCTTGACGGGCGGTGATGAATGCGCCCCCTACCTCGATACCTGGCGACTCGATTCGCGTCGAGAACTCACTCTCATGCATCCAAGAGAGACAAGTCGACATCCCGTAGCAAGAACCCCCGCGCGCCCTATCCTCACCGACAGATTGTGCTTCAACCAATGGACTACGAGTCGTGGAGAGAATGTCGGGCGGCGTTGCCTCGCCTCACCTTACTTTACCTCCCCGTCCTCTCGCGCCTGCACAAGAGTAAACGATCCTAGGTACGTATCCGTACTTTGGTACTGTACTCGAGGGTGCAGAACAGTTGCCGTCTCTCTTTCTCTGCGTGTGTATGTATGCGCGCGTGTGGCGGTGGTGTGTCAGACAGCTACGGAGGGCGTCTGCTTAAAACAACCCTGTCGACACATCTCATCCCGGGGGAAGAGGGGGAGCGGAGAGGGGGGGGGGGTGGGATAGTGACAATGTCGTTGTCGCGCACTAACAATTATTTTCTCGAGGTGGGATGTCGGCCTGGCAAGGGAGACAGACGACGTGGATGGAAAGAGCGAGTGGAGGAAGCCGCCGAGGAGAAGCCTGCCCCTGTCGACACACGCGCCCATAACAGCAGTCACAGTACAAACCACTGCAGAGAGATCGCAGAGGGAAAGAGGCCAGGCCAGCAGAGGGGAACAGCAGCCCGCATGTACATGCAGTCCAGTCCTGGCTATGGGGGCACGTACCTGTACTTCCGATTGGCAGATGGTTGCGTCGTCAGCAGATGTATCCAGGACCTCCTCTGTCCACCCGACCCGACCAGAACAGTCGACGGGTACAGTCTTCCTCAGCCCAGATGCACGGCAGCACCAGAAGAAGCACTGGCAGACCAACCTCACACATGGATTCGCACACATCGGCCTCCTTCTCTTTCCTCGTCGTCTGCTTTCTTCACCTCACGCTATAGCTGGATACCCGTTACCCAAGGGGACTCGGTGACTGTCAGTCCTCGGAACTCGACTCAACTCGACTCGACTCGGATCGACTCGGCCGTTCTTGCATCACATCACCTCGCTCGCATCGTCTACTTCTACCTCCCTCTGCTCCCCTGTTTTCCACTGCACACTGCACTCACTACGCTGCTCGCTCAGCTCTGCATTACTTTGCTGCTCAGCTCTCTCTCCTCCCTCTCCCCCTCCCCCCTTCATCTACATCCTTCGACTTCTACATCAAACCCCCCAACTGCGAAATCTTTTTGTCGACACATTTCTCCTCATTCTCCTCGTCTTCTTCCCCTTCCTCCATATTCTTCTGACTTGCTCCTCATCTTCTCCAACTCGTCTGTCCACCCAGCCATCCACCCCCCTTCGTCGCGGGTGTCTCTCGGCCCTGGATCCTTCGCCCACACACCATATCTCACCTCACCTTACCAGACTTCCACTATCCAAGCCAGAGGAAAGGAAAAAAAACACACACACAAGAGTACGTACCTTGGCTACCTGGCTTCGATACCTTACCAAAGCACATCGTAAGGTACCCAGACCCCGACCATCCTTACACCAAGACCCATTTGCCCATCTCCAACAACTCCCAACACCCTTAGCCCGTATCCCACACACCCTTGCCCATACCAGCGCAACCCAAGGCCCCATCCTCCTCCCCAAGGAGGTCCCAGACCCAATACCACGACCCATATCCATACCTGTACCCATACCCATACCTGTACCCATACCCATACCCACGACCCAGCCCAAAGGGCAGCGCACGCACATACCATCCTTACCTGACCTTCGCTCTACAAGCGCGCATACACACATTCATACATTAGATACCGCTCATCCCATTCATCCCCCTTCCTTTGGAATCCTCAGCACGTCTTGCCTGGACACTTGTCTCGACCTCCAACTGTTTTCTCCTGTGCCCTCGTCGCTGTCGCGCATCCGAACCCTCAAAGCCTTTTGGGCTTACACAACGCCCATTCTCACGCGCCGCTGTCAACCGTTGACAACTCAGCTCACGCTCACCACCAGGCAGACAGTCCACCACGCGCACTCAGACCGCAAAAGGGTATTCCGTTACCTTGGGCGAACAAACGCGCTCCCGCTGCGTTGTTGCCTTTGTCGTGCGCATATGACTTAAGCCAACTATCGTCTTCCCCTACTCAACAGCGCCTCTTGACCAAGCCGCTACACCCGCCAACCACGTCTCCTCGCACAAGCAGTCCCAACATCGACAGAAGCCCACGGCGCATCTAGGCCATCGTTGCTCCGCTGCACCCTGGTCCGCCCACCGCTTCACACACGTACATGTCAGGTACCCACCGCGCCCTCTAATATACCGCTCCCTCCCCACGGACGTCATACAGGAGCTGCCTTTTCTTCGACCTGCAATATATCGACTTCGCTAGCGGCCATTTGACGCTGCCCATCACCATTTGAAAAGACCCGATCCCGCAAGAGTTTCTCTTTGCGACTTTTTGCGACACCATCGCCGACCCATTCACTCGTTCTTTTTCCCACCGCTCTATGAGGCGCCAAAGCTCGGCTTTCCCCCACCTGACCTACGCTCGTTAAGCACGCCGAAACCCGACCAACTGGAAGCACGACGAGAAAGCCACTAGAGGCGCCGAAGCTAGTAACAAGAGGGCGAGGATTCGGATTTTTCGATCGCTCGCCAGAAAGAGACTGGAGACATTGAGAAACTACCTACCACTGCTGAACAACACCACGGAACCGCTGTCGCTGGGCAGCACGTATATTTTGCCGTCGTCAAGATGTTTCGCCAAAGGTAAGCCCATGTCATACGCCCTTTCTCGATGCGCCAGCAAAATAGCTGTGTGACGCGGGTCCCCGCACAAGATGCGCGTTGTTGCGCCATCTCGAAACCTTTTTGCGCCTGCTTCGGACTCGTGCTGACTCGTACCCCCGTTCACAGAACAAGCGCCCAAAAACCCGGCGATGAACTGCTGGCCACCTTTCGAAGGCAGTTCCCCGAGGTAGCTGTCACGACCACAGCACCGGTCGACGCTCAGAGCGTTGCCGTTGACAATACCGCTATTGTCCCGACGATCCCAGGAGTTCAAGAAAGGTCAGTGGTGAACCCCCCCCCCCCCCCCCCCCCCCCCAATCGTGAAGACTCTGTGGTGTGTGGCTGTGGCTGCTCTTGCGTTTTGCCGTGGCCGTTGCGGCACCCACCCAGTCGCACCCGCCGGGATGAGTCCAGCAGGCAGAAACGCGGGGTACTCACATTTGGGTGGGCTCAGGAGACACACCCGCAAATTCAATTCATGAATGAAGTCTTTTTTATGACTTGCCCAACTCGAGTCGCTAACATTAGACTTCCCGCAGAAGCCACAGCCTCAGTCATGAAGCTTTCAGGGACCAGGACCCGACTCCGAGAGCCACGAATGAGCCTTGGAGATTCACGCCTTCGCTGCTTGACCCAAATTCATTCTCCTTTACCAACTTCGCTAATGCGCCGCCCGGTTATTACACTCCCACACCGGGAGGGACTAATACCATTTACCACCCGCAAGCTGGCGATCTGCACACTCCCACTCTGGGGCTCGGTATGGGCCTTGGAACCCCGTTGTCGATGCCAACGTCGGAGGGCGCGATGAACTCCGGACAACCCATGATGGACCTTGCCGGTTACCATCAGGGAATGCACCCCCAACACTTCCAACAGCCGTTCAACCCGTTCATTCAGCCTGCCGCGCCTCAGCAATCCTTTGCGCCCTCAACGTTTGTGCACCAAGACACCGGCTATGAAACTATGGAACAGGATGGGTCACCAATGAATTCCGACCCGTCTGAAGAACGAATGGCCTCTATCGACAGCGCGTTTCACAACTCGCCCATGGTTGGTTTCCAGGGACGTCAGTTTGGAGGAATGCCCATGGCCGCAGCTCTCCCGCCATCCGCCGAGAAGTTTCGCTTCCATGCGACTCTCAATGCTCCCACTGCCATGATCAAACACGCGGATGAGATTCCCGTGACATATCTCAACAAAGGCCAAGCGTACTCTCTTTCCATTATCGATACCAACGCGACGATACCGGTGGCCCCAGGAACCAGGTTCCGCACCTTTGTACGAATCTCCTTTGAAGACGAGCAACAACGACAGAAGCCCGGTGTGTGCTGGGCCTTGTGGAAGGAGGGAAGAGGCACGAATGAGGCCCACCAGAGAGGCGGCAAGTTGCAGGCCGTGGAGTATGTCGAAGCGGGACAGCCAACTGAGGGTGACGACAAAAGAACCCGCGTGGAGCTCGAGTCAGCGTCTTTCGACGGCTTTTCGGTTGTCTGGACCCCTGGCATCAACGGCGCTCCCGAATGCAACATTGCCGTTCGCTTCAACTTCTTGTCCACCGACTTCAGCCATTCCAAGGGTGTCAAAGGCATTCCTGTGAGGCTTTGCGCCAAGACTAGCACCTTCCCGTCCGACCCCACGCAGCCAGCCGCGGATGCCAACCCCGAGATTTGCTTCTGCAAGGTTAAACTATTCCGTGACCACGGCGCTGAACGAAAACTCTCCAACGACGTGGCTCATGTCAAAAAGACAATCGACAAGCTGAAGCAACAGATCGCGCAAGCGGAAAGCGGCATGAAAGACTTTGGGAAGCGCAAGAGATCAAGCGCCGCGGCACAGGTCAAGGGCGTGGACCAGCGGCCTGGGAAAGTGCAGAAACATAAAAGGACGTGGTCCATGTCTTCAGCCAGTTCAGCCGGCGGCGGGGCTCGTCCTCCTCTCGAAGAAGACTTGCATTTCAAGCTCCAGACACTGCAGGATATGTTTACTAGCACCCGGCCCGTCAGCCTACTCTACCTACGCGGCGAAGATCTCGACGACCCCGACCTACATCCCGTCTCACTCCCTGGAGAGCAGGGTGATCTCGCCAAAGTCGAGTCCCGTGAGGGCCCGGCGTGGCAAGCTCGAAGTGGCCGCAGCTCCGTTGCAGGCTCTTCTCTGGTCTCGCCATCGCCGAGCTCCCTGTCCCTGGCCTCTCAAGCTTCAGCAGCGCCCAACCGACAGTGGTCGGGTTTCGACGGCGAGGGTTCGGGAGAGCCTGGTTCTCGACAAGGCTCGGACCAGCCAACCAAGGTCACCAAAACGGACGATGCTGGTAACCTGAGTGGCTGGATTGAGGCCCTGGGCGTGGACCCGTCGTACCGTCCGCCTCCCGAGCGCGTGGTGAAGCCTGCAGCCTGCTTCTACGTTATGCGGCCCAACACATCCGAGCCAGAGAAGCGAGTCTACTACCGGGCCATCTACGTGGCTCAGAGAAACTTGAAAGACTTCAACTACCGCGTGGCCGTCAAATGGAACATCGACCCCTCCAAGGTTCTGCGGACTGTCCATGTGCTCGATCGCGGACTCGAGGTTGAAATGGATGACGACGTCATCCAAGAGCTGAGAGAAGGCCAAGACATGATGCTTGATATCAAGGAAATCGCGCCCGGCGATTCCGTGCAGCCCAAACGCGAATGGGACATGGTCGTCGACCCCAACGACGGCGACGCCATGGACCACTCGTCCACCCAAGGCGGCTACGAATTGCGCCTCAAATTTTAATATCACATAATTGGATCCATCTCTGCTTCAGCAACAAACTCGATCGGACTTGGATTTTAGACGGAATTTTGATACCTGTCGCCAGGTAGGCCTTTGGGATACGGGCGGCATGGGCGACACACCACACACAACATACACGTACACGCACACGCATGGTTAAGTATCGCTCCGTTGGCGTTGTTGATTTTGAGATACCAAGTCCCTGGATGGGCCGCTTCTTCTTTTCGACGCTTTTGGCCACATGCAATGTGGGCGGATTTATGATTTGGGCATTTAGATCTGGGCCACTATGGGGGCAATCATGGCAGCAAAACACAAGATATCCCGCCGACTCCAAAGGGACTCGGCACAATTCGAAGGGGCTGTTGGGGAAACAAAGTGTAGAGAGACGACACTCGGCTCTACTTGGACTTCTGTGACTTGTCGGGCCTTTCAATAGTCCACGATGCAGCTTCTTCTCCTTTCACTTCACGCATCGGTCTCTTTTCCCATATTATTTGATGGTCGACCCTTTGTCTTTCTTTTGGTCAATGAAAAAAAAAACCCATATATTTTTGGGTTTCTGTCTGCAGACAGAAACCGACAAGGCTAGTTGAATAAACAATGCAAGCATTGGAAGGGGCTTGTTTTCACCATTCGCACAACTTCCTGGTAGCTTATTCTGTGACCACGGCAGACTCGGGCGGCCCAGAACAGATGCTAAAGTGAGGGCTCATATCGGTTACGCACAGATTATGCGCGACGGCTATTGATGACCAGGCCACCAACTGCCTCGCGGACGGCGTTGAGCACGATGATTGGGAGATTTTCAACTCATTGCTAATCTCGCGTGGAAAGAACTCATTTCGATGACGGGAGCCACCGGGGCAGCGTCGAAACCACCTGCGACATACACTTGGACTAGCGCCTTACGACGGTCTAGATCAATTCCATCGCGGGTCTGCCGAGATCTATCATTGTCGAAGAATATGATAGAGGCACGGAAATGCCCCTCGTGTAACAAAGCCGGGTCCAAACTTTCGGGCAGCCATGGTCTAGGGATACCCTTGGAATAAAGGTTCGATGTTGTCGATAGATGATGGCCGTCACTCTCCAGCCACATAACGTTTTCCGTCCGATCGGTCTCACTACGGCGCGCCAAAAGGAAACGCTCCAACGCTTCAACGCCTTGACGCCGCGCCCGGCCGAAAGGGTCTGCGCACATTTGTACTCTCGAACTGTGTGGACGTGCCCCCAGCTCATTAAAGGCCCATGGGGCTCATTGAGACAACGTTGAACCTTCCTGCTTTGTGGGAATTCATATGTATTCCGCTGGTGATGGTGACTTGACCTAGCAGCCTCAAAAGCTTTGGCCTCTAGTGTCTTCATAACAGAGCTAAAACTTCCTAGCCAACCGGAGCAACGGACACCATCCTAAGCGGACCAGGTCAAACGAAGCTTATTTGTTCGCGACTCTGTGTGTACAGGAGATTACCCTTCTTTCTCGAGAGTAGCTGCCAAACAGTCACAGTGATACACGCCCTTGAGATTCCGAAGCGATTGAACAGCTTATTGGGGTCGCAGGTTACGTGTGGCATTTGGAGTCATCTGTTCCACGGCCAGTCGATGGGCGAATGATGGCCCTTTGCCGGACCTTCCTCCGACCTGCCAATCAGCTCTGTTCTGGGCTCTCCGTGTGATGATCATTATAGTACAGTATACCTAGCGAGGCCGCCCAGCCCTCGCGATGCTGGGCGGTCAAGCCACAGTAATCGGTATCCCGTCTTCAGTCGTTAGTCGGGCAAGCCACTAGCGGTGTGGCGAGTGCTTGCGTATTCTTGGGTCTGGAAGCTCCATGGACTTTGTGATCTGTTCCCTTGCGGGTCATTTCTCTGACGATCTTCCAACATCCGTCATCTTCTCCGCAAAAGCTCTTGATACAGGTTAATTCACAGTCATTTTGACGGATGTTACTGTCACCAACAGGCAGCAAAACCACATGTGGCACACTGGTGGCTGTGCATCAACACTAGTCCTTCTACAACCACTACGCACTTAGCGCAAGGCGTGTATCAAGCGGTGCCCTGAGACGTGTTACCATTTCAATGAGTTAACGAGGTACATGGCCCTGATTAGAACATACGCTTGAGGGCTGATCGACACTTTCGATGCGAGTTGTGGGTAAGTATCTTTAACAGCCAATTGCTGTGCTCGGAGAACTGTAATCGAAACACTGCTGTGCCTGCCGACTGCTGCTTATCTTGCCGTTCCAGGTTGTGGCCAAAATGAAGATGCGACTCTTGGACGTGTGTCGAACCATCTTGCAATCGCGACTGTGCTCAAGAGGCCCTCTTGATGCCCAGTTTGGACAGATGAGAGACTTATACGCAAAATTTGGAGGGAAGGCTGTAGCTTCTTGTAAAGCGATGACCAAGGACCACCAGCATCGAACCGCCTTAAGCTATACGAAACCTGCTCTGTCAGACGGGATGAAATCTCGGACGTTGAGATACATCAGGTCTTGCGAGGAGTGCACAGTTGATTGCTGTGGTTCTCAAAGTGTGTCCATGGGAAGAAGTTGCGTTTGATTTCCTGATTAGACTGTATTTTGTTATGACTAACACGCTCATAAGTTGCGCTCGTTGACTGGCGAAAGAAGTTGACGAGGCGAGCGTTTGCACCTTGCATGCCATCAGGTCATGTGGGACTGTCATTTGAGGTGCACGTCTCGACAAACACCCCGGATGTCGGAGACGGAATCCGCCAATGGAGCCGGGGCTTTGATAGGTACTCCGTGGTGAGAAGAGTCGTGTGCGGGGAATTTGGGGTCGGAAAACAATCGCCATTGCGGGTAATGGCAACTCTCCAGCCTCACTGAATGCGTTTTCGGTCTTGTGAAATACAAACTAGACACATTGCAGGCTACATGAGAGACCATGGAACTGCCAGTTTTGAAATGGAATTGCGTCTACTCGGAAGCTCGGGAGTGGGCAATGTCTGGCGCCTCCTCGGCACGGCGATTGGCATTACGTCAAAAGGTATGAGAAGAGAGCATGCGAGAATTAGATTGACGGCGCATCGCATTGCAGGTTGCAACGACGGGGCCCTGTGCCTGAGCGCAGCTACAGTACACACATACGGACATCTTGCAAGCGTGCAGCATGCAGAGCGGCACAAGGACATCACGAATGTCACTAGGGTGGGGTGGAAGAAAGCCACAGGGCCTGCAGACCACGTCGGGTACCGGTACATAGGTGATCGAGGGTCCAGCCGGAGCCCAGAAATGGTGGAGGAGGGCACTCGCCACAGTGCCATGTCGAGCCTGTGTGACAGAGGGGTGTGAATGGCTCAAGATACGAGGATACAGGAACCATTTGTCTCTTGTCGGTGGCTCAACTGCTCCCCAATATGGATATCTAGGCGCTGATCACCCATTAGTGAGGGAGCAGCTCAAGGCCGCATCACGCAAGAGCCCGGACCCAAGGAGCGGCTACAGAAACCTCGGAGAAACAGCCGCATTGCTCTTGTCTGATGTGTTCTGTCGCAAGCAGCGGTGCTCCAGCGCATCATGCAGAGAAAAGGAGGGCCTGCCGCGCTCCGAACGACGTCTCTCTGTCTGCGTCAAGACAAGATGTGCCACGATTGCGCGGCTACTAGCCACAATTGGTGCCACAGCTTGACAATCCAACACGTACACCCCTCTACGAGAAGACGATCACTGCAAACTAACTCGCAAGCCCGCATCATTCTTCAGGGGAATCAACCAGTCAGGATGGTCCGGACGTCAAGACCTCAGCTGGTCAAGGGTTCGGCCCCCCTTCGCTAGAACAGTTGAGTTTAACGAGCGGGTTGAGGCAAAACTCGGCATCCTTCTCCAGCGCCACAAGTATAGAGAATATGTAGATCACTTGCTCCATGTGGCACCTAGGGCGGGCCACACCCGGAGTCTTCGACCGATGTGAGTGGAAGCCTGCGTGGCTGTGGTGGCTGAGCGGTTGCCAATGCATGCCGTTTCGACCATTTCCAAGGGGCGTGTGCGAGGCGTGCGGGAGAAGCGCAACCTTTGAGTGGCTCTTTCCTCATGCACTCGCCACAGATGAGGAGAAACAGATGAGAGGAACGAGCAGTGGTGCGGATCATGCAGCTGACAGCGCCGGGAGCCCAGGGGTAAGTGTCTCTGGGGTCTCGTTAGGAGGAAGTCACTTTCTATCAGGCCAGCAACAGGGCCGTTCATTGGGCGGCAGCACCCCTACACGATTCCAGACTCTTGGATCACCGAGGATAGGGGTGCCACGAGGGAACGGGGCTTCGGGAGGCATGATGGAGGGGTTCCATCAGAAGGGAGACGCCCTCTGGCTAGCCACAGAGGGCTATCTCGCCGAGGTGAAGAGGATAAGAAGCGGCGGCGCCCCAAGGCAAGTCGCGTTGTTTGGTTTCGTACTGACGACTGATGATGGATAGGCTCAAGGTCCCTCTTTCACTTCTTCTGAGAACCCCTTGGTTTCTCGAATTTCCAGAGGGGGCTTCTTTCCTTCTCTTGAGACCTCAGCACATGGCTGCGACTTGACACTTTATTTCTCCGTTTCTCCTCACCCCTCTTCCGCCTCCTCTCCAGCCACAGCAAGGGGACTAGGTTTCTCTGCTCGGTAGCGGGATGTGCGCTTCTTCTCCCACTGGAACGTCGACGGTGAGCCAATGGCGATGGCACACACGGCCTGTCGATTTCCTATTAAGGTAGTCTCGATGTGTTCGCCACACCCAAGGGTTCTCGCAGGAAGGAAGACCGCGGGTAGAATCCGTGGCGGCGTTCTCCCCTTCCCCCCTGGTGGTCCTTCTATGTCGTATGGAGGCGAACGAGCGAGCGAGCGAGCTCGCCTGAAATCCGTGGGCGAGTACGCGGGCCAACAAGAAGCGGCCAAGGCTGCAGGAGTTTGTGATTACACAATCCCATCACCGCTCTCCGGCCTATACCTACCGAAGGAGGGGATTCCCCCTTGCAGACCAATCGCCGAGACGTTGAT